TAAGGCAGGGGTGTCAAACTCAAGGCCTGTGGGCTGGATCCAGCACACGGGGTGCTTAGATCTGTCCACAGGCCACCCTGGAAACAGCAAAGGACCAGCCTGAGAAGCCTCTGCCAGTGAAAACAGGAGTTCTGGAGGGCCATCTGCAGCCCTCCTGGCAGCAATGGCCTCCTGCAGCCCTCTGTCAGCTCCATTTTTGCTGAAAGAGAGCTAGCAAAACAAACTAAAAACAAAAAAAGGAGAAATGTTTCCCCTTTTCAATTGCGCATCAGGAAGGGACAGGAAAGGAGAAAGGGAAAGAGGAAAGACAAAGAAAAAGGAAAGATGGGAAGAGAGCAAGGAAGGAAAAATAAGGAAAGAGGGAAAGGAAGAAGAAAGGACAATGAAGAGGGAGGGAGGGAGGGAGGGAGGGACGGAGGAAGGAAGGAAGATCATAATGAGAAGGAGGGAGGGTCTGAGGGAAGTCCTGCCTTAGCACTTGGCCACTACAGGTACTCTGACACAAGTGACATCCTGACAAACACCCCCAAGGTCAAACACAACACTGATAGGGCCCTCAATGAAATCAAGTTTGACACCCCTGGCTTAAGGAGTAAAGACTATCAGTCAAGCTGAACTGCTAATGTTAATGTTTGCATGTTTGTATATTAAACATTAAAAAATGATTTAGCACAGTCTTATGATAAAAAAAATAATGTGTGAGCAAGTGTAAAATTTTTGGTCAATCTCTAGGGGGTGGGTTAGATTTCTGTTCAAAACAAATGTTTCTCCCCAACAGTGCAATCCAAACATTTATATCTTCATTTCTTTCATCTGTCACAAATGAATGCTTGAACAACAAAGCCTAGTTTATTTTTTTTTATTTTCAAAAAAGTGTTTTATCTAAACCTCATAAAAATATTAATTAGGCATCAACTTATTGACCTTCTTTACTCTAGTTTATTAAGAATATCAAAGAAAGGGGCTTTTTTCATTTTGTGTACGAAACTTTAAGTACAAGAATGCCATGTTCCAAACTCTGCCTTGTGTGAAACATCATTTGAACCTTTTTATCAATAAAGAAACTTCTCTCTTTCAAAGCTTTATTGTTCCTCATGTGAATAAATAAGATACTATTGTAAATTGAATGCCTAGAGTAAAATGATACTTGTAGCTAGGAATATAATTACATGTGTTAAGAATTGCTTCTTTTACAGTGCTCTGAGCCACAAATATAGAGCTATTGTAGTAATTTGAATAAATCAAGAAGCAAATTTGTGTCTCATTTTGCAATCATTACAGAAAACAGTTCTGCAGAATAAAATGCAAATCACTCAGCCACATATTTGAATAATACAATTGAGTATCTTTCTATTACAACAAAGCTACAAGCGACATTAAAGCTTTAGGCGGGATGAATCAACTCATCAAAAGCAACAGATTCAATACCACCATTAATAGAAAACAAACTTATCAGAGCATTTATTACTATATGGATTAACCCCAGGAAATACTACAAAAACCAAAAGGACTTTCATAGCACTTTCCCAACTAATACACTTTACTGAAAGAATAACTTTTGTAAATTACAGCTCACTTCATCAGGTGCACGGAGCTGTTGAATTAATATATTACTTAATTTGATTCAAGGTAGGATAGGTAGATGAAAGGCAGGGAAAAGAAGTTGTTTATGCCACTCGCATGTGAGAGAGAAGAACCTTCTCATTTGATAATTGTGATGTGTTTAATATCTACTTGAATTTTGTTGAAGTTTTGAGATTACAATATTCCTCAGATTTTCTGCTTAGGCATCATAATAACTAGGCTTCAGTACCCAACTTGAGGCAAACTTGACTTTAAGTGAGTCAGTCAGTCAGTCAATATATCAGGGGTGTGTGTGTGTGTGTGTGTGTCCATATGCATGCCTTCAAGTCAACCTTGAGTCCAAATAACTACATGGAAAGATCCATGCAGTTTGCTTGGTAACATTTTTGGAAATGGTTTGCCAGTACTTTCTTGGTACTGGCTCAAAGTGGCCCATCTGGCTTCTGTGCCTAACTAAGCATAAAAACTCAGTTCTCCTCTCCTAGTAAAGCTTCAGTTGTTGTATTTAAAAAGGCGGGATAAAAAAAACCCTAATAGATTGAAAATATATACATATAGGGCAGACAGAAATCTAGATGGGCATGTTCGTAAATTACCAGGAATTAAACTCAACTTGAGGCAAACTTGACTTTAAGTGAGTGAGTGAGTCAGTCAGTCAGTCAAAATACAGCGCACAAAATTATTGGAAACCCCAAAGACTGTAGAAAAGTAGACATTGCGCTTAAACAGAAAGGGCTACTCCATTCAGTTGCCTTGTTGTTAACATATCCCGAACAGGAACATTGAAATCTGACGGATCCCTGGGTGACGGTCATGCAGTACAAAAGAAGGGAAACTTTAAGACCTGGGTGAGCCCCGAGGGTGAAGCGGGAAGGGAAACTTCCCCCCCCCACGGCCCACTCGCCCCACCAGCGGCCACGTACCTCGGCCGGGGCAATGTGGAACGCCTCAGCGATTTTAGCGTAAAGCTCCTTCACGCTGCCAAAGCCTTCCACGCGCCCGGTGGGGCTGCCGTGCGCTAGCTGCGTGTGGAAGACCAACCGGATGGGACCGCGCGAGGCTGAGGCGCCCACCGCTCCGGCACGAGCGCCGGCCACGACTCCGACCTCGTCGTCACCTCGCCCTCGAGCCGGGGGAGCCTCGCCGTCCACCAAAGTGGAGGTCTCCCTGGACTTGCCTTTCTTCTTTCTCCTCAGCCCCAGAGGCATCTTCCCAGCCCGCCCACCGCAAGCCAGCGGCCAGAAACACCTGTGCGCTGCTGGAGGCGGCGGCGGCGCGGCTGCTCTTTCCCGCTTGGCTGAACTCTGCCCGCTCGGGCTCCGAGCTCGCGCCGCACTTCCCGCTTTAGCCGTCGGCCGGCAGGTGGGCCAAGCAGGCGGCAGCCAATGGGAGAACGGGGCTTTGGGCCCGGGAGCAATTTCGCGACCGATACCCCCCCCCCCGCCTTCTCTTTTCCTCTTAGGTGCTTTTTGTGTCAGTCGTTGAGTTGTAGAGGGTCGTCGCGAAGACCCTGTGGCATAAAATTTTATTCATAGGTATTATTTTTTTAAAAAAAGTGGCCACCCGTCTTCAGACTGCAATTCTAACAAAGATTTTAAAAAATAATATTTTTTAAAAAAAAATACAAGTACAGTATTAAAAAATGTCAAGGCCAACCAAAACAAAAAATGGCTGCTGAAGACACAGTACAAAAATTGGGCTCAATTATTCCCCTCTCTTACCTAGGTCAAGTAAGAGCCCCTCTTACCTGACCTAGTGGGATGGCCACAAGCAGTTAGGTAAGCACCTCAAATTCCCTAGACCCATGCCACAAAGCATTTTATACATAATAACCAATACTTTGAATTACACCCAGAAGTAAAGATAGGCTGCCACCTTTAAACACACCTAGGTACTTCGGCTTTATTTCAAAATCAATTATTGGAATTTATTTGGATGACTGCTTCCTTGATCCTTTTGGGATTAAATTTCATAGAAATCAAAGACAAAGTCTTAATCTTCTTAAAAACAATCAGATTTATAATAGCTTAAACAGAAATGTAGTTTTATTCATGGGTTTCACTGTGACTTTCAAGAAATATGTAAGTTTTGGATGTATTAAACTTAGCAAACAATGTTTTAATGTTTCCTTGGCTACAGCTCTTAAAGCCTTCCAAAAATATTTTGGGAAACATTGGAATGTTCTATTTTTCTTTCTGAATTATACTGATCTAGCCTTTCTTGATTTAATCAGTATTGATCTTCCCAGCAATAGCTGGATCGGTATGGTCTAAAAGAAACATTGAATATTCCAATGTTCTGTGGAACATTCCATTCCCGGAACTGTACATTTTAGAGAATTCAAAAATTTTTCATGTGTTTTGTTTATTTCTGCTAGTTATTTTGCATCATTGCAGTTTTTCATTCAACAGTTTTTCATTTTAATAAAATCTTTATCATTTTTATTCATTAATCAAACTTGTAAGATCAAGTCACCATTACCTCACCTAAGACTAGGGTATACTCATGCTGCCAGATCTGATGAGATAGGCAAAAACCACTGGGGAGAGGCAGACCTGCAAGTAATGTAATCCCAGGTCATCTAGGGCTTTAAAGATGACAACCACACCTTGAATTGCACCCAAGAATTTGCAGGCTCATGTGGCAGTCGTGTTATGTGGGTGCACCATTGTTTGCCCAATGGTACTGAGGCTGCTGCATTCTAATCCAGCAGCAGCTTCTTAAAGTTTTTCAAGAACAACTCTATGAAAAGGGTGTTAGAATAGTCTGATCAGGAGGTAATTAAGGCATGAGGAAGGACAGGATTTAAATGCAATAAATAAAAAAGTAGGCATTATATTCAGGACAAACCAGGAGCTCGTTATAGAATATACACTTACCATATAAATTCTACTGCCACAAAACACTACCATTTATTTAGATCAGATGACTGTGGGAATATCAAATGGTCACTTTGATAGTTACACAGTCTCTTAATATTAAAATATATTAATGAATTTACACCTAGAAAAAAGTTTTCTATACCATGTTGCGTGAACACAACCACTGTAGTTTGCAAACCATGGATTATACTGTAGTATAGTATGTGTAAATACAACTGACTTATGCAACAAAACAGGAAACATAAAAACGGTCTTATTATGTATAAACCCGTTCATTTAATATACAATCTTGAAATTTCCTATCTTGTTAATACCATAGGTTTCATTGGGATTTATTCTTAATAACAGAATAGAGCAGTGTTTCTCAATCTTGGCAGCTTGCAGATGTCTGGACTCCAACTCCCAGAATTCCCAGAATTGAGAAACACTGGTATAGTGCATTATGATCTCCATACTGCAGATACATGTTATGCTTCAAATGTCAAATACCATTTCCATTTGCTCTCATGCATCAAATTGACAATTGGAGGGGGAAAAGTTAGAAATAATAGTTTAATGTTTAAAAATATGAAATGCAATACATTATCATAAAGTATATTTAAATACATTTACAATATGCACAAAGAAAAAGTAGTTTTCTTGTTCTCATTTTTAGTCATTAAAACTTGCTTCATAGATTCTTTCTAGTTCCAGAAAGGGATGTTATAAGGTGCTCAAGAGGTTCTTTGCAGAGCATTTTAGCATTTTGCTTCAAAGCATTAAAGTAATCATGTCCTTTGCAAGGCACATGCAACTGGTTTGAAAGCAGTCTTTGCTTACTCCACATGCAGGTGTCCCAGCAAAAATGTTCTGTGTATGAGCATGCAGACAACTGGGAAGAGTTTCTGAAGAAGCTATATGAGATTTGCAGAGCAGACAACTGTTTTAATACTTTGAAGACTGATCCTTCATTCATTTTAATGTGCTTTGTGAAATACCTCTTTCAAATGCTTTCCATAGCCCTGGTTTAAGATTGCACATCTTGTCAGTTTACAGCCTTTGTACTAAATCCCATTAAAAAATTTCCCATTCATTCAGGAGTCATTTTTAAAGTGTGTCCTCCCACCATCAATTACTGCAGCTGTTTTGGATTTTAATATGCTAGTTTTAGAAAACTGGCATCATTAACTTTTTACATAATTGTTAAACATCCTGTCACTTAAAAGTGCTATCTAGCACATTTTGACTTAATAAAATGAAGCTTTATTGTAAACAAAGATAAATAATTTCATGAATGTTTCCATTTGACCATATTACAAAACAAGTAGGTGTTGTCTTAAATTTAATACTGTTTGTCTACTGCCCAAGAATACTAGTTGGGATGTGTATGTCTTTGCAAAAATAAAGTTTCCTTGCTTTTTCTTACAATAATTCATTATGTACTCATAAAAACTTCAGGTTCAACTTACAGTTTACAGAATTTGCAAGAATACTAAACTTGAGAAAGATTGCAATCTTAACTGAATTAGGCTAATTATTCAGTTGATGCTTATAAGTATGCCACCTCATGAAATATAAGTTCCAGAGAGCATTAATGCCTTTTCACAACAATTTCTACCTGGAAATCTATTAGGCCAAAAACAGTAGGCCATCAAATTTTATTTTCTATTAGGTCACTATATTTACCACCAGAATAATGGAGTAAAGGAATTCACAGACTGGTACAATAATGTAAAACCCACTTCTTCTTTGGGCTCATAAACATTTTAAGTAATGTTACTTTCTTGCTGCTGTGCAAAAGGTAATGCAGCTTAGAGTATATACATAAAATAAATATTGCAAATGTTACATAGATTCATATAATGAATTCTAATACTGTAATATTTTAACACACACAGATAATCAGGATTATCTGAACTAAAGTGCTTTGCAAATTATGCACTTTATTAGAAATACACGGACAGAGGTGTTCCCTTTTTACCCATGATTACATGGACACGAAATACTGGATAAAGTGTTTTGTAAAGGAAGATCCAACACACGGTAAGTAATATTAGCCTTATACTTAGTTGCAAGTCTTTGTACTCCAATTCTCATGCAACACTGCATAATTCACTTCCCTACCTGCGCACACAAAAGGAAAGTTCAACAGTTATAGACTGCACTTTTGCAGCATAAACCTGAAAGTCCTTGATGTTCAGTGTCTATTCGGAACAGTTCACTGACATATGTTTCTTATGATACAGGAAGATTTCTCCTGAGTACTTCTTTTGAGGCTGGAGCTATATTATCTGGAAAAATTACTTCAAATTCTATAATTAAGTCACCTCGTTGCTCATGATTTTTAGGAAATGGTAAACCATATCCTATTATTCTTCTTCTCATTCCAGGCTTAACAACTTCATTTATTGTCATAGGTATTGTTCGGCCTTCTATAGTTGGTACATTGATTGAGGTGCCACATAAAGCCTGGAAAATAGTAAATTGAAACAATTAAGAGCAGCATATTTGTTATTTTGTCAGGCTTCTAATATACTATATATCCTCCATAAAGATAAATAATTATATTTTTAAATGACAGTATAATTAATTCAAATGCAAATGCCACTATGTTGTATCTTTTTTTATAAGTGGAGAGTTGCCACCAAACAGTTGAACAGTTCAGGATATAAATACCATTTGTACTTTATCATTTAACAAAATGTGCAAAGAATGCATAAATGTAAAGAGAGGAGACAGGAACATTGCCAACAATATCTTTTCTTTCAAAGGTATATTCTGTACACATGACATGAATTTCCACTTCTTACATTTTGATTAATGTAACAGAAGTGGCAGCTATATGTATCCCATTTAATAGGAATATCCTGTATATAGCCTTGGAATGCAATTGATTGCAAGAAGTGTTGGACTGTTCTAACCTTGAAATATCCATTTTGATCGTGAACAGGTGTTCTGACAAAAGAAGACAATATTCTGTGGTCAGAGTTATTCTTGCTGTGCAAGAATATTCTAGAGATGGAACACTCACCTTTTTAAAAATCACAATATAGATGTAAATAAATAATGTTCTCTAAGATGTTATTTGCTACCTGTGGGCTGAATTCCTGCCCTTCCTGGCTCCTTCTAGCAGCCCAGGGAGGGAGGCGTTTCCTGGATCTAAGAGATTGTTAATGTCTCGTGAAAAGATACACATAACAACCTTGAAGCTACAGGTATTGAACAATTAGCACCCAGACCAATCTTACTATTTGTGGGAAAATTACAGAGAAATTGTGGGATCTCAGAGAAACTCCCAGAGCATTAGCCCATGTGTATACCAGGGTCTGCTAAGGGAGCACATTATACCTATACTGCAAGCTCTGCATTGGTTGCCATCAAACTTATGGATGTAATTTTAAAGTTGCAGTGTTAATCATGTTAATCTATAAATCCCTACATGCATATTTACTTGCAGGACCACATTAGTCTACCCAGTTTGACCTATCCTTGAAAAACTATTAGCATTGTCTCATGTTAGGGAGGTCAGGAAGGCCAAGGCTTGTTAGCAATATTGTTCTTCATGTAAAGTGCTGTTCCTTTGAAACAGCCTCCTTGTGAACATAAAACAGTGCTCTAATAGAATATTCTGATTTGTGCATTAAGGGTAACTAAATGTGAATGCTGCTAACTTTATAAGACAATTGATTATTACAGTGGATGTATCTCCTAAATCTAGTCATCTAGTTTGCATGCTCACAATAAAAAAGTACCAATACAGCATACTTCCTGTTCATGTTTTACTGATGGGATAGAATTCTATATAAATTTTAAAAAAATATTTCAAAACATTTATAATGGGCTTATATTGGATAATTTGATGGCCTTGGTATCTTTTTAAATACTATATATGTTTTAGGATATACTTTTATTATATTATTATTCTGTATCTGGTGACTGAAAACTAACAATTTATTATTTATTATTTTTTTGAACTGACAATATAGAGTCCATTATTTATTTGTTTATTATTTATTAAACATGTGCTGCCCATCTTGCTTGGAGATAACTTTGGTTGCCATATAAATATAATTATATCAACATTATATTAATGTTGTGATAAAATATATTTGAAATCAATGAAAATACCATGGCAGATCAGCATAGAGCTGCTCACACAAGCAGAATGCTGTTCCTTTGTTCTCCCCATAGTGTTATTGTTTTTTTGTGATTAGGAAAAACATTTCTAATACTTGATGATTCATTTCCTTCTACCGGCATTCTGATTATTTTACTTCATAATAGACTGTTTGCATTTCTATTTGGGAAATATTTAAGGACAACACATTTACTAAACACTGTTGTAGTACAACACCACACCCTAGTTTTGCAAATCCCATAAAAATGCAAAATGCAAGCAAAAGCAGCCCAAAAAACTGGCACAAAGTTGGATGATTTATGTGTACAATTGCAGTGAGGAAAAAGCAAGACAGGGTTCAGAGGTAAACAATTCACTGAATAGACAGCTAACAAGAACGGAGTTAACTTTGTGGGAGAAGGATAAAATGCTACAAACTATATTATTTACCATATTAAATTCTAAATTTACATGTCATATTTCCACATTAAGCTATCTAACATGTAAACTACTTACACGAAGTCCTGTATTCTTAAAGAACATTGATCTATGTCCAGTTTAACTCAACTACAAATATAAAACAGTATAAAGGTTCCCCTTGCACATATGTGCGAGTCGTTCCCAACACTAGGGGGTGGTGCTCATCTCCGTTTCTAAGATGAAGAGCCAGCACTGTCTGACGACACGTGGTCATGAGGCTGGCATGACTAAATGCCAAAGGTGCATGGAACACTGTTACCTTCCCACCAAGGTGGTCCCTATTTTTCTACTTGCATTTTTACATGCTTTCAAATTCCTGGTTGGCAGAAGCTGGGGCAAGTAATGGGAGTTCACTCCGTTATGCAGTGCTAGAGATTCAAACCGCCGAACTGCCGACCTTTCTGATCAATCAGAGTCTTAGCCACTGAACCACCGTGTCCCTTCTATAAAACAATATAAATACAAATTGTATAAAGTATTAAAAATCCGATGTTAAACTTAAAAGAGTACTTACCTCCCGTAAACTAATCTTGACAGGGTAGATTATATTTGAACCATCTCTCTTGAAATGAGGATGTAATTTATCTTTAATAACAAACACAATATCAGCTGGGATGGTGTTGGGTGTTTCATCGCCCTCTTTGGGGAATGTAATTTTGGTACCTTCTTTCCATCCTCTCTTAATATCAATCGTAAGGATTTTATCTTCTGTTCTGACACTTCTACCATCTGGATTGAGCCTTTTTCGGGAAATTCTCATTCTTTTTGTACAGCCTTGATAAATCTCTTCCAATGATACTTTCAGTTCATGAATAACAGGAGGATCTTGTTTACGACGGGCTTGATTACCAACTGTGTTTCTTTCTCTTGGAAATCCATTCACACTAAAAGTAGTAAAGGAACCAAATGGATCGCCATCCACTTCCATATCTTCGGTGTCCCTGCCACTAGGCATTCTTCTACCAAAGAACATTTCAAAAGGATTTGCGCCACCAAAAAATGCTGCAAATGTAGCATGTGGGTCTCCATGAAAAGAATAACGGAAAGAACCTCCTTGACCATCTGGTCCACCAGACCCTCCTTTCAAACCTACCAAATACAGAAGCGTAAGAAATAATAACTAGCTGAAATAATTATATTTGCTAACAAAACAATATTGGGCTGTAATCCAGAAAATAGGAAATCAGAATGGCAAGATGAGGGGGGCAGATGACTCTGTCCTTTTACTTGAGGGAATATTTTGTCTTTTATCAGTTTGAGAAAAAATAATTTGTGATTCTGTGACATCAGGTGGGGAGAACTTGTAACAATTATACCCTTGTTTATATAGCTAGGGTAAACTCTAATGAACATAGTACTATTTCTACGTAAACCAACATAAAAACCCAGAATTAGTTCCATGTTAGTTTTACAGCAAACACAGAGTCCTGTAGAATTTTAACAACTCATATAAACTTTTAGTTTACAGTCCTTATCTTATCTTGTCCTGTCCTGCAAAAGACCAATTATATGCATACATAACTGCTCGGGAATGTGGGAGAAAGGCAAGGAAATACCGTGTTTCCCCGAAAATAAGACCAGCTCTTATATTAATTTTTGCTCCAAAAGATGCATTGTCTTACTTTCTGGTTAGGTCTTATTTTGGGGGAAATATGGTACTAAATGCATCCATCTGGCTGCCAATCTTAACGGGGGGTTATTTTGGGGTTGGGCTTATATTACGAGCATCCTGAAAAATCATGCTAGGACTCATTTTCTGGTTAGGTCTTATTTTTGGGGAAACTGATTAAGTCTTGAAATAGTGAGAGAAATGCTTTAAATATGATCAAACATAAAATACAGTTGAGTGGATCATAGTTATTCTTTCACTGACTAAGTTGCAATGTCTTAAGGAATTCTGAATCTCTGTGTTTAATCCACAAAGAAATTACATCTCTGAATGAATATAAAAGATTGGGCTGCTCATCAAATATACAAAACAGATTTACTGTTATCCATATTTATTGGAAGTAAATCCAACTGAATTTTAGAAATAAAATTATTGTGGAAAGGAGTCCACAAAACATTGATGTATTGCAAACCAGCAAGTTTTATAAGGAGATTTTACAAAGTTATGCTACTACACTTACACGAACAGTTACTTCAATTATTTTAAGCTTGCTTATCTTCCTACATTATGACACCCACCTACATTCTGTGAATAATTTCACCTACACATCCTTCCTAAATTTAACCAATTTCTCATCTTTTTGCTAGATCTTTATATTGCTTAAGTAGATGATTTGGATAAAAGGTATGTTAACTCTGCAATCTTTTTTTAAAAACGCATTCTTAATAAGTTACATGTTCTGTATATCTCAAACCAATAATTGCCATAGTAGATATGAATGATCAGAAAACATTAATTTAGCAGAAAGCTTACTAGCTTCCAAAATGTTCTTTTTTTAACTAGTGGATAATTACTATTGATGTCTGCTTGATATTTTTAAATGTTCTTTTAGACACACACATGGTGTAATATGAACTCTGGTGTATACTAAGAGAGCCCTTGAGGGAACACTGGTTTTCACTGGCACGATTTTCCTATTGTCATTCAAAATGGTAGCGCCTAATTCTTTGGGATAACATTATTGAGCAGTCATTGTATTCTTTTTCTTTTACAAATTATTTACTGAAATCCAAACATTTCCATATTGAGAGAATTTGGATTCTGTAGAATTTAAAATTTGCACATATGTGAGACTAGACAGGAGACAAACATTTCTCCTCAGAAAACTTAGCTTACAAATCTCTGGGGGAAAAATAGGCATCTAACGAAGTCTGTTAAATATTTTTCTTTTATATTGAAGCAACTTATTAACCATCCATCTTTCTGATATAATTTGGAGAATTTTTAAAATTTACAATAGTGAATGTCCTATACCCGTGATGGTGAACCTATTGCACATGTGTCAGAAGTGGCATGCAAGACCCTCTCTGTGGGCATGCATGCTGTCGCCAGTTCTTCTTCTGGTTTCTGGTGCACACATGCGCACAGGCCATCTGGTCTTCGCGCATGCCGAAGAACCAGAAACCCGAAGACCAGCTGGCTGATGCACATGTGTGCGCCGGCCACCTGGTCTTCAGGTTTCTGGCGCTCCAGCATGCGTGAAGACCAGCTGGCCGACACACATGCACTGAAAACCAGAAGACAAGGTGGCTGGCTCACGCATGCGCACCGGCCAGCTGGTCTTTGAGTTTCCTGCACACATGCACGCACATGCATTCACTTTGGTTATGAAATTAGACTTCAAGAATATCAAGAAAAAAATTGATTCACACATTGTGTTAATCTATCTTTTGTTCGATTTTACTTTACCATGATATAAATCAAGTATATAAATCATGGCTTATTACTCAGCATCCTATGTGATGCACACCATTATGGTTTAGTTTACATATCATTATTTAAAATAAATGAAGACATATCATCATGCGTGAACTCAGCTTACGCTGAGATAGATAGCCCTATGAACCCATAGGGCTATCTAAATTATAAACAAGTTCAAATTACCAATATTATTTGATGTTTATTTAGAACAGGAACATGAAATAAAGAAGACTTAATTTAAGTCCAATTGATTTAAGCCTAATCTTCTTCATGGGTTTAGTCTAAATATGACTAAATCTGGATCCATCCCAATGCTAAAAGGTTCAAAACATATGAACTTTTCTTTATTTACTTTGTGGTGGATTTTTCAAAGACTAGTTTCTGCCATATTTTTAATAAGTATTTATTTATAAAAATATGATTATAAATATTCTAAATATTTTAATCCAGGCAAACTATGAAATAAAATCTTAGTACATTTATACCTCATTTTCTGGTGTCAGAATCATAAAACTTTAATTTTGAAGAGAGAGAAAATTCAATATCAATTGTCTCCGACTTACAGCCATTTGTTTAGTGACCATTCAAAGTTACAATGGCACTGAAAAAAGTGACTAGTCTTCACAATTATGACCATTGCAGCATCCCCACAGCCACGAGATCAAAATTTGGGCATTGACAAATGACATGTATTTATGACAGTTACACTCTCCTGGTGTTATCACCATTTTTAACCTTCTCAACTGACTTCTGACAAGCAATGGGGAAAGCCAGGTTTGCTTAACAACCACATGATTCACTCACCAACTGAAGTGATTTGCTTAACAACTGTGGCAAAAAAGTGATAAAGTGGGACACTTAACAACTGCCTTTTTTTAGCAATGGAAAGTTTGAGCTCAATTGTGATTGTTAAGTCAAGGACTACCTGTACATGAATTAATAATCTCTGATACAAATTTTGAGTAAAAGTATTTCTTGAAGCAGTGAGTTTACTGCCTTGCAAACTACTTTAGCATAAGTTATACCTGATCACTACACCAAGTATTTCAGAGGCTGATATAACTGTTGATCACATGCTTTTTTTTCTCTTTTCAATAACCTACGATATGAGATCAATTTTGACAAAAGATAGTTTGGCTGCCTCTTTGTATATTATTGTACATTATGGTTAATATAATAACAACTATCTTTTCTGCTGGTTTTACCATGTTTGAATAGTGCAGCAAATAATGTGTCAAAAAGGTTTAAAACATGCATTCTGAAGTATGGCTTAAGTATGCATTATTGGCACTCTTCCTGCTTATTATATGCACTGTTTGTGAATGGAGTGTTTATTTACTAAGCCTTAGCAACTAAAGATGTAGAACTAAGTAAAGGATGCCAGGTTTGATAAACTATACCATGTACTTGGCAGAATGATGCTTCCTAAAATAGATAATGGATTGATTGTGCTCAAAACATATCAATCCCATGTCTAATTAAAAGGAGTAATAGATACAGTCTATCCATGATCTGAACAACAGTCAATTTTAAACTCTGACTAAATTAACTCATTAGATAATTGTCCCTAATGCTATACATAAAGGTATTAGGAACACTGACTCATAATTTTAAAAATAAGTCTCTATCAGCATATCAAGGTTTTATAAATTTCCCAAGAATACAGGGAGGCAATACTTAAATTATAAATTACTACTTAATTTGAATTTCTACATAATCATATGCATTTATGAAAAAAAACAAGTTTCTAAAATAATTATTAAATACTGATGCATTTTAACTCTTATGTTTTCAGTCCATCATATTCAATATATGAATATTTCTATCTCATTGAGAGAACATAGGACTATAATGTAAATAGCAACTTCATTAACAGAACAAAAACAACTTAATTAGCAGAAGAAAAGCTATTTCCAAATCTTAAATTAGATTTTGAAAGATAAAGGCAGTAGCTGAATTCTAAAAACTAGGTCTCATTCCCTTGATACATTAATAGCTAGAAAGGAAGTTGAAAACTTGTCCTGGTATTTTCATGACATCAGGCAAATTCTTTCCTTTTTAGACTAGATTCCAATCTGGATACCTGGACTCTGGTTCAGAAATACCATCATTCTATTTCAATCTTATTTTAACAAAAATAATGTATACATTTTAATTTTTGTTACTGTAAAGATAGGACAAAATAAACCAATTCAGCAACTATCACAGCCAAAAGCAGCTTAATATTCCTGAAGTTCTTGCAACCGAAATTAAGAATTTTACTGTGCATAATAGAAAATCAATTACAAATTTCATAAGCAGGACTTGCAAATGTAATGAGTGTATAGGTACTGAAATATAATTTAGCTAAATTCTCAGATTAAGTTCTTACAGCCAAATGCTCATTTCCTCTTGATTTGAATTAATTATATTCAGCATAAATGTTATTTCTATTAATAGCTAAAATGAAACTACAGAAATTATATTACCTTCTTCTCCAAACTGATCATAAATTTCTCTTTTTTTTGGATCACTCAATACCTCATAGGCTTCTGCAATCTCTTTGAATTTTTCTTCTGCATGGGGAGATTTATTCTTATCTGGATGCCATTTAAGGGCTTGTTTTCGGTATGCTTTCTTGATGTCTTCATCAGATGCTCCTTTTTCAATTCCAAGAACAGAATAGTAATCCTTCCCCATATCAATGTTTAAAAAGTATGCTTTCTTTTGTTTATGAGTTCTGTATCTCAGCTATGCAATGTTCCTAAAAAAAATTAACAAGAACTATAGTTCTATTAAGCAGCCAGAAGACTTGCCACCTTCTCCTTCTCCTTGATCACTTTGTACAAAGATTGAACTGGTAAAAACACTGCCACCCAGAGCACTCCCAATTACACTACGTGTCTCTGCTCTTTCTAGAACAGCAAATGTTATAACACGTCATTTCCCAAGCTAGCTACTGCCAAAACTCTGCCGTGTTCTATCTTTGTACATTTAACTGTTCACTGACTAACTTCATATGCAAATATTTTTTTAAAACCTTAATTGTGGAATTTTGTAGCCATTTAGTATTGTGTGGATGGTAAATTACAGATACAGGCTTGTTTTATATATTTATTGTAAAAAAATGTGCTACAGGAAACCATTTCTTAATATTTAAAATAAAACTGTTGATTCTACCAGTAGTAAAAAATTCCTTATGGGACTAAGAGTGAAAGGTGGTCAGTTTAAAAAGATTTCAGAAAATACACAAAGGAATTATAAATTTTTAACTTAGAATATTTGTCTTCCTACATTGAATATACAACCCTTAATTCAATTTATTTAAAAATGCATGAGAAATAATAATTGTCAGTGGGCAATAGCACTAGCAATAGCACTTAAGACGTATTTACAGCTTCATGGTGCTTTCACAGCCCTCTCTAAGCGGTTTACAGAGTCAGCATATTGCCCCCAACAATCTGGGTCCTCATTTTTTTTTTTAATTTGATTTATATGCCGCCCTTCTCCGAAGACTCAGGGCGGCTTACAATGTGCTCAGCAATAGCCTTCATCCTTTTGTATATTTATACAAAGTCAGCTTATTGCCCCCACAACTGGGTCCTCAATTTTACCAACCTTGGAAGGATGGAAGGCTGAGTCAACCTTGAGACAGTGAGATTTGAACTGCCGAACTATAGCTAGCAGTCAGCTGAAGCAGCCTGCAGTTGCATTCTAACAACTGTGCCATCTCAGCTCTTACAGGGACAAGCTATGTATATGCCAGAATTAGACAATCAGGTATGCTCCAGAATGATGTGCTTTGTGAGACAGCAGCTATGCTTGCATGTCACCAAGATCATTAACTATCTGCAAGCACCTCTTGCAGGGTTGCAAGATAAGATATGGGAAAACCCACATAAACGTACTCCCTCAAGAAGCAAAAATGGCAAGCTGTGAAATGGAGGATATTGGTAGAGGTATGGGTGTGCATATGTATCAGCATTAGAGGAATTGCAGTCAGCAACAGCAGATTGGAAACTGAAATCAAATTGTGACTCTCTTGAAGTCACCCATCTGAACTCTGATATATGGGTCCTATTGTTTTAAGAGACATCTTGGGAGCGCCATTTTAAGAGTAGCAAAATTGTCTGATTTCAAGATTGTGACAGAAGGAACCGGACATGGATCATTCAGGAGGCTTGTATCATAGATTACCTGACTATTCATTCTGCAAATTAGAAATATAAAGAATGTAGACGTTAAAACCAGAGAAAAATTGCACCTACCCAACCTGATGCTAAGTAAGAGTATGACCCTTCTGCAAGTATTTCAAATTCTTAGGATTCCTACATCGGATGAACCACTCCTTTTAAGATATGCCTCCATTGTTGGAACATGGCTTTTATTGATAGCTAGTCCTTATCACAAACATCATAATCCCACCCAGCTGGGAGAAGTCTAGAATAAGATGTACAAGGCAACAGATACTTATCCTCTGCTGAAGTCTGAAAAAAACTAGCAATCAAAAGAGTTTGAAGTATCAGTTTCTACAATGTCGCAGCTGGGATCAAGACAGTAGTCTGAGACAAGACATGTTTCAAATCCTGAAAGGCTGCTTGTTCTTGAATAAAATTGTGAAAGTAACTTTCGATTTGTTGAATGGAATTGTCAAAGGCAGTTCTAAATTTCTGCATAAAATTGTTATAGTTGTCCAGGATGGCACATTTAGTGTGAGAGAATAGCCCAACTGACTGTTCCTTCATTCAAAAAGGTCAGAACAAAAAGGTCCAAATCTGTAGGAAACTCTGTTGGTTTGCCAGTCTAAATACTTCATACTGGGTAGTGAATTAGAAAGCTGCCTATAGGGCTAATCAAGTTGAGGCAACCATGACCAAAATGCTGGACTACTACATCATAACATTCTATAAGCTCATGATTTATGTATTTACTTGCTGTCTATGCTGTAATAATGGCTCAACAACTTGTTCTGTAGATAGGAGATATTTCAAGGATCTGTAGCTGTGGTCTAGGGGCCACAATTAAGAATCCAATTCTCATCTAATAGAAGAACAACAAGGCTCTCAAGATTGTTGTAAAGCCCTTCAAGTATGCCAGACTCAGTAAAGGAAGAACCATTTAAACTTTTAGAAATATTTTTATTGCTAGCTGGATATTGTAATATTATCTTAAAAGTTTGTCAAAGACAATTCTCATTTATATCTAGTGTAATTAAGGCCAAAAATAAGATACCAAGGGTCATTGTGAATGCATCATTTTGGGAGAAAGAGATGCTAATATTTCTAAAAGGACACTGAGTCTAGCATCCTTATGGGTCTGATCAAGGACCAAGTTATATTGGACAACTATCATCCACTCAAAAACTTTTTTTTTTTTTTGGTAAGCTAGATCTGGAGGAAGGGGTAGTCTACCCTATTATAATGAAGTCTTGGTATGTTTCTGAATACAAAACAAAAATTAGAGGCATTGTTCCATGGCAAATCGATTTCTTCCTGAGTGGATACTTCCATTGACATAAGTCCTTGACTTATGATAATTAATCCCAAAATTTCCACTGTTAAGCAAGACAGTACTTAAGTGAATTTTGCTCCATTTTACAATCTTTCTTTCCAAAGTTGGAAAATTAGTATGTGAATCTGGCTTCCCTGTTGACTTTGCTTGCTAGAAAAACTTCTAAAAGGTTCACCTCATAAAAGGTGAACAAATGACCCTGGGACACTGCAACAGCCATAAATACATGCCACTTGCCAAGTGCCCAAATTTTGATCACGTGGCCAAGAAGATGCTGCAACATTGTGTTCTGACCTAGGCTTCCTTAGAAATTAAACAGCACAAACTTAATCCTGGCAAACATCTTTAATTCATATGGCTGTAAATTACTTTCATTTACAGTCCTCAAGGCTTGATAAACAATCTTTCAGAGGAAGGTTATCAACACCCGTCAAAGAGCTAATTTTTAAACGTAGGGCAAGGCCAACTTGGCACAGACATGTTTCAAATCTTGAATTGGCCAGATGAACTAATTGCTTCCTGCAAAAGCTCACATCCTGCTCGCTTCTCTTTTATGTTTTATGGGAGGGGCCAATTATCTCCAAGCCTTATTCCCAAGTCCACCCTGTTTCCTTAATTGTTCCTGTCTCCTGGCAGCTCTGCACACGCGTACAGTGGGAACAGGATCACGCTGTTCCTCTGCCTCGCTGATGTCAGACTCCAGAGGCAGTAAAGAACTACCAGTTGGCCTTGGCCCCCTCTCTGCCTCCGACTCAGAGCCATCGTCCAAGCCTTTCCCAGACTCCAGGACTGGCCCACGTTCCTCCCCAACCTCCTCACTGTCCAAATCTGCTGCCAGCTTTGCTGGCCGCTGGCTGGCCACAATACAGTGGCAAGTGTGAAAAAGTTACTTCTTTCAGTGTCGTTATAACTTTGAATATTCACTAAATGAATGGTTGTAATTTGAGGACTACCAGTACACGAGATGACACAAGATTAAATCTCTTTCCCATTTAACATTTACATATAGTCACTGGGAGAGATAACCCAACAAATGGGGTTTGGTATAATTAATATTCTGAGAAATCTAGGTTAACTCTCTCAGTTCCAGACTGTCAAGATGTGTCAGAAGGTCTTATCAGGAGTATGCAAGAAACTTGAAGAAACAGAGTAAGATTTAACCCTATCAAAGTAGAGAGTCTGTGGATTGAAAAGTCAACTGAACCTAGGACAATTCCATCTTAACTATGGATGTAGTCATTCTCCTCTTAAAACAGCTGGTATACAATCTAGGAGCGTTTCTGTTCTCTCACCCACTTTTGGAATAGCAGATTTAAGCCTTTGTCTACTTTAATCTGTGTGCTAACATGAATACTCTTGGAGAAGGGGCAGACAAGAGTCACCTATATCTTTGTCACCTCGCTAGAAAACTATATAATGTGCTGTACATAGTACTATCCTTAAAAAAAAACATCCAATTGTAACAAAATGCAATGGGCTGGATATTAAATGAAACAAATCTATATTGTTATGTAATATCAATATTGTAGGTTTTCTTTATTGCCGGTTTGTTTCCAGAGTGCTAGTTATAGCCTTTGAAATCCTTTATAGCTTGGGCCCTGCAAGACTGCTTATTCCAAATAGAATTTGCTCATTTAAGATGTACTTGTACAGAGTGCTTCCCAAGAGTTCTCACTTCCCATGAACTGTATCAGGAGAAGACCTGAGGAATATACTGAGACCAGTATATTCTCAAGTAGTTCCTTTCCTGTTGAATGTCCCCCAAACATTCCAATGATAATATAATAGAATGGTATGGTATGGTATGATATGTACAGAAGAAACTTTGTCACTACAATTTTAATATCCTATTTTTTTTTAAAAAAATCCCAAAGCAATTCACAAACAATTTAACTAACTGTAAATACAATGAATATTATTTTAAAAGAAATTAAATTTCTAGGATGTTTCCCTCAGGGCAATTGAGGATAATAGAAATGTGGAGAAGAAAGAAGTAGAGAGTATAGCTAAGAAGATTTAGAAAGTAGTTGTTGTTTGCTTTCCTTCTTCTCCCTTCTGGGACCCTTTCCACAAAGCTGTTGGTGGTAATAATCTGTGGAGGGAGGGAAGAGATGAGTTCCAAGCAGAGTGGAAGAAAATTCATAGTAACAATACTTTACCAAAAAAGGACCTGTGTGCATTTCAGATGTGGACATGTGTTGTATTCCAGGGGGGTGGAGTATGTTTCCAAGTATCCATGCCAGATATGCTCAGTCTTTTCTCCACTAACACATTAGAGTATGACTCATACTGCTAAAGTTAAAAGCGAACCAACTCCCTTGTACTGTTCAATAACAGCTGGATTCAACAGCTTGAAACTTGTATATACACACATATATGTATACACACACACATATATAAAAACTGATTATGTTCAAGTATTAGTATATTAAAAATAACAAATATGCAACATACTGCTTCTTTATTAATTCATTAAATCAATAACAAGACAATACTCTATTTAAGGTTATTACAGTTTTTGATAGTGACATAACATAATATGACTTAACAAATGTTTTTTGCATTCTAGAAGCCTTAAGTTTCTCTGCTGCCTATTTTATTGAATGAAAAACTCAATTTCAGATTAGTGAAATAAGGATATAATTCTTTTTCATGGACACCATGAAATCTACCCACATATTCCACATTAGGAATGTCTGTTAAGTCCATGACATATTCAAAACGATAGGTTAGATAATTAATATTGATACTCTAATCACTCTAAGTTTTTGTCTTACAAATGAGAAAAAGATTGCTTAGTGAATTGCTAGCTATTTAACTTCCACAAACGGAAGGGAAAAAACCCACAAAGCCACAATCTTAAACACAATCTTAACAAAACCCACAAAGCCACAATCTTAAAACAACAAATCTTAAATATTTGCCTAGTCCCAAGTGATTGCTACACAAAATCAGGAAATTTCATATAGAATTTCTTTCCTCAAAGATTATCTCCTGCATTTTTTGAAATAAAGAGATCATTACAAGGAATGATGCGGTATAGCTCTTAATATGCAAGCTGTATTGCAGCTTCTTCACCAAAGCAAACTGCTCTTAAAAGCTGCATAATATAAAATGCAGCAAGCATTCAAAAGTTTTAAAAGGTTCATTAACAAATTTAGTAGGAAATGGCTGGTTGCATTTGGATGGGAGTTTTGTCAGGAAGTAGCACACTTGTAGGCTACATTAGGACACTTTTCTGAAAAAAAGCAATGAATACTACTTCCATTTTATTACCAGGAAAACTCCATGTCTCCTTGTCTATGAAGTCATCAAAAAATGAAACTAGATTTCAAAAAGATTTTAACACCCAGGCTTATTTTCCAGGCAGAAAAGCTATGACCACTAGATGTCACTGACAACCTGTACAAATATAGATACTGTTATCTAAAAATGTTTTTTTTTAGCTGTAAACTCATAGCAAAAATACTATACTACAGAATTATTGCATCAAAGTATTTGATGCTAAATTTTATTCCCCCCAAATAATTAAGACTGGTAATAATTGTTTATTCCTTCTCATATTAATCTCATAAATTAATGATGTGCAGTAGTTAAATACTACAGGATTTCAACCCAAGTCAATGACTTCACATTTTTATTAACTATTCTCTTTTGGGGGATTTTTTTTTTACTATTAGTAATCTGAAGTGCTTCAAATGAGATATGGTATCAGGCCCAGTATCCCAAGAAAAACCATTATAAATTATTTGAGCATCTCTTTTTTAATGGTGATTTTATCAGTTTTTCTTGGAAACAAAAAAATCACAAGGACAGTATCTAATTCTGGTATCAACCTGTGCTGCAACTGACATTTTCAATAAGAACAGAACATGAATAAATGTTTCCTTATCTGATTTGGATGACCACCATTATCTTTTTTTATCCAACAAAACCTTTCAACAAAAAAATAATATTGGCAACATGTAGCCTATCAAATTTGAAATGCAATTCCACCATGAAAACTTAATTACTGAAGAGGACAATGAAGAACAAGTGATGTTTGCTAGGCCAATTAACCTCTACCTTACATGAACTATACCACCAAGTACCATTTCAATCAAAAGCTACAAAAAATGAAAGATCAAATTATGAAAACAGTGAGATCGTGTAGAGTATTGCTGCAGCTAGTCTTTAAACTTTGCAGTAAAAATTTTACCCAGAAATATAAACAGAAGAAATTGTGCAGAAACGCTAATATAGTTGACAAAATATAGAAATAATTTTCTAATAATCCCAATAGTCCATTTTGTGGGAAGCAGGCTCCGTTTTTTTTTCATGCATCTACTAATTACACCCTACTAACTATTACAATGGGAAATGGCCATAATGAATTTGAAAATTCACCGTACCTACCGTGGATTTTTGCACATGGAACCCCCCCTCCAACTTTTATCATTTTATTAACGCCTCCTCAGCGATAAAGCTTAATTCATGTTCCCATTACTGCACAGCAAAATTCGCATCAGAGTTTTGACCCTCGCAGAGCCACAGACTTTATAGATTTTAATACTCTACGTACATCGATTAAGAGAACGCTTGTGTAGAAGCGCCTTCTTTTGAAGGTAAACTTATTCTATCGTTGAAATGTATTTGAATACAAGTGTTATATTCAAATATTGTTATATCGTTTCGATTATTTATTATGTTATATCGTATTATTCAAATATTGTTATATCGTTTTAAGAAGAAACCTATACGAGATAGGTTAGATACGCTTTTCGCCGAAGCGGATAGGCGGCATTTTAGAGGGTTTCGCTTCGCCTCAGTACACCCCCATCAGGAATCAACCCCGTTGCTTTTTCTGTGCCTTCGAGAATCAAAGGCTCCACTACAGACATCCCCTCAGATTTACCCATCCTGAGAGAGACTCACTCGCTAGCCGGCAGGTTGTCGCCACCACGACAGACGCTCCCTGACAGGCGACAGCAAGTACAGTACCACAAATCAGTCCCTTTCCCAACTGTCCAAATATGTCGATTGAAAGTACGCTGGGGGGGGAGGGGGGGAGAGAGAGAGAGAGAGAGATTACTTAACCAACTATCGCGAGATACGCCCTCCGTTTTATCTAACCCAGGAAGAAATCCTGCGCGCGCCTCCCTTCGCATATCCGTTTAACGATCTACAACACACACACACCCCTCCTTTCTTTTCACACCCTAGAAAGCTCTAGAGTATTCTACCTCCTGCATCCTAAGATTCTTATCTCGCGAGAGTTAGCTTGAGGGTGGGGGAGGGGGGAAGGGAAACCTTCCTTCCCTCCTTCATCATCTCGGTTTGCTCTGCTCAAAGTCTCGCGACTTTTGCCTAGGCTTCTCGCGAGGGTATTAGTGGCCTCCCCTCCTCCTCTCGCGAAACACGATGCGACGCAAGAATGTGAAAGGCTCCCGCCCGCCGCCATTTTCTTTCTTTCTTGGCAGGCTGGTAGGACGGTAGGAAGTAGTGGAAGGAGACATGTCGGATTATTCTACGGTGCCCCCTCCTTCTTCGGGAGCACCCGGCGGAGGCGGAGGAGGTGGCGGGGCAGTCAATGATGCTTTTAAAGACGCGCTGCAACGGGCTAGGCAGGTGTGTATTACGAGCCCTGAAGGGATTTTTTCCCCACACCCCTGACTGGCTCCTCAGACTTCCAAGCAGGCCGCTGGCTTCTCTCATTCACCCCTCGGCTTCTTTCGCAAAGGGAGACAAACCCAAGGCCCACCCGCACATTGCGGAGGAGCTGAGAGCTACCTCCCCCTTTGAAGGGCTGGGATGGCTTTTCTTTCGGGCGGCTTTTTTCAGAACTCGGTTCAGATTTTTTTATTTTTTTTTTTGGTCCTACAAAAAGCGCGGAAGGCCAAATCGCCTGGTATCCATTATGTTGCCGCTAAACGGTGGGAGACGGAGAAGGAGGGACAAAAAAGGATTAGATTGAGATTCAAAAGAAACGGAATGAGTTGACTTTTTAAACTCTCGCGTTTGGCGGAAAGTTATTTCCGTAACATCCTTCTACTTCGCCTTCTGGAAATGGCGGTGCCTTCGTTTCTTTTAAGAAACAAAAACTAAAAGGCAGTCGGGTGTGTCCGGTTGTCTGAACCCACGCCCCTGTCGATCCATCCATCCATCCTCTCTTCCACTGTGCAGAGGGGCTTTACTTAATCCCCCGGCCTAATGCTGACTTCTTGTGCAATATTTTCCATTATATTCGCTTGCTTGTCGCTCGCGAGAAAATGTCGGTAACGGGGAACTGTCGGCGTTAGAGCGGATTCCTCGTAATCTGGTGCCCACCGGTTCTGTTAAACTTCAACTTTTCCGTGCACAAACATAAGCTGCACACTGTGTGTAATAATTTCTTTTGTTTCTATAGGAAGGCCAAGGAGGCACACACACACACACAGCTTTCATCTGGCCCACCCATTTTCTTAATTTAATAATAAAACGTTGTAGAAATGAAGTTAGTTAGGGTTTCCAGGTAGTCTTAATACTTAAACGTTGCTCTTGACCTTTCTTTTAGTTTTGGGCTTTCTATGGCTAAAAATAGGTGTTTCGCCTCTTGATGTTGGAGGTGTTTGGCGCTGTTCTTCCTTATGGGAAGCAAAGCTAAAAGTTGTTTTAAAATTCTTTGCTTTTAATTCAGAGAAAATTCACCTAATTGAAAAATGGGTGAAGCAGTCTTGCTGAAGCATTTTAGTGAAGTAGAAAAAGAATGGACTCTTGGCTTCTGTGAGCTGTTATATTACTAAAGAGATTATTTTAAAATAATGTAATGTGAGGTTTTGTTTCCTGCTTCCCTTTGGGTTATAGTTAATGTTTTAAGAAACCCAAAGCAATTTCACATTTTTAAAATGTGATCCATTATAGAAACAGAAAAGCATATATTTATTCAGTGGAGACCACATACTGTTTTTCAAATACAGAATGACTTTCAGTGTTTAGTGCATCAGCTTAAATAGGAATAAAATCACAGTTCCTTTAAAAAGAGATAAAGTACACCGTTAAGCTTAGTGGAAGAAGGGAAGGGAATAAATGACATTTTAAAACTATAATAGCAATACTCTTGTGAGTTAAATGTATGATTAGGAAAAAAACTTAAATGGGTGTTTTATCCTGAAGTTGAGGGTACTTGAAAAAGTTCCCAGTGTTATATGCAGTCCAGTGCCAAATCAAGTTTGACTTAAACATGGCAAGTACAGTAGAACCTCTGGTCACAACCATAATTTGTTCCATAACTTTGGTCGCAACCAGTTTTGGTTGTGACCTGAATTAATGCAGCTGCTATACGTGAGTCGCTGTTGTTTGTAAACAAACAACAGGAAATTTGGTGTGTACAAAAAAAAATAGTGTGGAAGGGGAAATCGGCCGCAGCCGTGTCTGATCGCCACCGGAGTATGTGTTCGTGACCAGATTCAAAAATTTTGTGAATTTTGTGGTCAGAACCCGATTTGGTCATGGTCAGAAGCGTTTATGATCAGAGGTTCTACTGTACCTTCAATTTAATTAGTTCCTTGTGCTACTTTGTTTGAATAGCAGAATAAAAGAGTTTGAAAGTACTTCAGAGGTCTTCTAGTCCAACGCCCTGCTCAAGCAGGAAACCCTAAACCATTTCAGACAAATGGTTGTCCAATCTCATCCTAAAAGACTCCAGTGTTGGAGCGCCCCCAATTTTTGGAGGCAAGTTGTTCCATTGATAAATTGTTCTGTCAGGAAATTTCTCCTTAGTTCTAGGTTGGTTCTCTCCTTAATTAGTTTCCATCCATTACTTCTTTGAATTGGAGTTGAATTGAAATTGAGTTGATTTGGATTTCAACTCAAAATGTCCTTTACTTAAAGGCAGAAATAATGGTTTCACATGGAACAGAGAGGGAAAATGAAATTCAAAGCTGAGCCACTGAAGAGTGAATTTCATACTATTTGAGAACAAAATATATACCTATAAAGTTAGGGATGAAAGAGTAGAAAATAGTGTAGTCAAAGAGATATTGTGGCAGTAGCTATTTTTGAAGTTGTCTGACACTTATACATTGGTGAGCAAATTATTACATCTTACCTTGGGATAGTAGTTAAGGCATCAGGTTAGAAACCTGCAGACAGCCATTTGCGTGACCTTGGGCCAGTCTCTTTCTCTAAGCCCTAAGAGGAAGGCAATGGCAAACCACTTCTGAACAACTTTACCAAGAAAACTGCAGACATTTGTCTAGCCATTCTGTGAGAATCGGAGATGATTAGACTGAAGGGGAAAACCTTACATCAACAGACAATTCAATTGCACTTCGATATTTCATCAAGATTATTTTAAATACCAGTAAGCTCTTAGCAGTAAGCTCTGCTGAAGTGCTCTGAAACAAATGGGATTGACTTTTAGGAAGCACAAATAAGATTGGATTGCTGATAGAAACACATTCTGTGCTCATGTTTTAAAAAGAAGGGACCTATTTATTTATTGATTTGATTTGATTTGATTTTTATTAAGTTCTAAAATTTAGTATATTTTAAATATGTAGTACACATTCCTAGTCTGTAACTGCAAACACTATAGTTCTGTATTCTTGGTAGTGTAGTGGTATTCATTCAATTCACATCTCCCCTTTGGCTCTGTTATGGAGGATCTACACAGTTTGATAATCTTACTGAGATGTTCAGCCAAAGTTCTTTCAGTTAGTAGGCTCTAAAGGAAGTAAAGGATTAGGAGGATTTCAATACCAAGGTATAGGTTCTTTCCCAGTTCCTTTTCTTTTAATAGTTTAGACAAAACGGACAGCAGTTAGCTAATAGCAATTAATTTGTTAAGCAGTTTGATAAATAATATACATTAATGGCTGCAATAAGTATAGAATATGTTATATAATAAGTGATCGGTGGAGCATGTATAAAACAGAATTATCAGTAATGATTTCTTAATAAAAGGAATAGAATAACAAGAGTTGGAAGGGACCTTGGAGGTCTTCTAGTCCAACCCCCTGCTTAGGCAGGAAACCCTACACCGCTTCAGACAAATGGTTAGCTAATCTCTTCTGAAAAGCTTTCAGTGTTGGAGCATTTACAACTTCTGGAGGCAAATTGTTCCACTGATTAATTGTTCTAACTTCTTGTATGGATGCTAAGTATGCTGCTTCATTAACAATTCAGTAGTACAATGTAATTCTGTTGGTAAAAATAAATATGTATTTTTTTTCCAGATTGCAGCAAAAATTGGAAATGAATCAGGGACATCTGTGAATTCAAATGATTACAGTTATGGGGGACAAAAAAGACCTCTTGAAGATGGAGGTATGCCACAAGATGCTAATATATACTTTCTCAAAATTGTAAACCGATTGAAGAGTGTGTGTGAGAGTTTGTGCACTTTCTGCTTTAAAGACAAAATAATTCATCTTAAGCACATACATGATCTTTAGATATGACTTATAAAAGCCAGCTAGGGTACTCGTAAAAGTAGATAGCAATGATGTTTACATTTTAAGAATCTGGGAAGGTAGGTAAATATTCTTTGAAAACTCATCTTTGCATTAAAACATTAACAAATTCTATAGTGAATTCAAAACACTCTTCTTGAATTACTCTTTCAGACTTTGCATTGTGCAGGTGCAACATTTTAAAATGAAACTTAGTTTCACCAAAATTACAAATTTACAGATAGATTTTGGAGAAAATGTCTTCTAAATTGTTTGAACCCAGATAAGATGATGCTGTGACCTTTTTTTTCCTTCTACAATATGTTAGCGAAATATATAGCAAGCTTAGGGTCATGGGCTTAAACAAGTTTACTGTGTTTATCTTTTAAAAGTGTGTAGTATTTTTTAAATTCATGAAGACAGATTTCTGATCTTGGAAGAGATGTAGGCTTTGAAGGAATATAATTTTGTTTGCAGAACATTTCCAAGGCTCTTGACAAGGAGTACTTGTGTACTTTAATGAAGTGCCTTTTATTAATGGTGAGGCTTTTAATATTCAAGATTGAGCTAATGATGCTTCAAATGATGTATGTAATGTATTCTTTTTATTTTATGTGTAGATGGCTCTTGGACAAGTCCGAGCAGTACAACACACTGGGAGGGAATGCCCTCTCCTTTTAAAGGCAGGAATTTTTATTTATTACCTGTGTTTAGTATGTAAACGTGAAATGAACTAGTGAATCTTTTGCAATGGATGACACACACATTTCTTGGAATATGTGTCTGACTTTTACTGCACTTAATCATGGTGGTTCGTGTATTCCTTAATATGGGGTGGGAAGGAAACATTTAAAGTAATTTTTATCAGATTTTGGTTATCTACGACTTTCACTCATACTAAACGAATTTGGATAGTAGCTATGGTAGTGGTTTTGAATCTCCTGTTTGAAGTTTTATGCTGTGAAATTTTCAGTATTTGAAAAGGAAGCTTGAATGACAGTCCCCAGTTTGAGATTGTATTGCTATGTGTTGGTTAAATTTTAAACTTTGATTTTCTGTTTAATATTGTGGTTGTTGTCAGACTTAATTGTAGAATGATTATTTCTCACAATGGTGGTTGTTTCAGTTTTTGTTACAGAAGCATCATTAGCTTTAGTGTCAAATTACTAATAATACAGTTAAATGTTTGTTACATTTTAGTGCCTGGATATCCATGATACCGTTTTTAAACCTGTGTTTTTATTGAACATGATACGTGATAAATGAAAGTACTTTGCATTTTTCCCCAATTACACTAACCAAATGTTAAACATATAAGATTTTTCTTTGTTTAGATGATCTATTCCCTGAAAATTCAAAAACATGCTAAAATGCACTGGACAAGTTGCGTTCTGAACTTCTGGAACAGCCATTTATTTAAGTTATCTATATTTATGACCCAAAACATTTAAAAAATTCTTAATTTTGCAGATCAACCAGAACCTAAGAAAGTTGCTCCCCCAAACAATGATTGTAAGTATTTATAATTTGCTGTAACGTTATCATCCGATTTAATATATACTGTACATAAATTAATGCTGCTATTTAAGTTGTATATATTGATCTATTCTGATTCTCTCCATTCCTAAGAGCAGACATTTGCAATTTTGTATTATCTTGCTATGCACAGGATTCTGCTAGGTGGGATACCAACAGGAGTAGGAGCAGAGCTCCTTTTAGTCTCTGATGATAAAAAAACAGGAATCTGGTACAGGTAATCCTCAATTTGCTACCATAACTTGGCCCAAAATTTCTGTTGCTCAGCAAGGCAGTTGTTAAGTAAGTCATATCCCATTTTATGACCTTTTTTGCAATGGTGAAGTGAATCACTACAGTGGTTAAATGAATAATGTGATTGTTAAGCAAATCTTGCTTCTTCCATTGAGTTTGCTTATCAAGAAGCTTCCTAGGAAGGTTGCAAATGACAATTCCAGGACCTTGGGACACTGCAACCATTGTAAATACTGGCCGGTTGCCAAGCACCCAAAGTTTGGTTATGTGACTGGATATGGTGCAATGGTCATAAGTGTGTGAGAACTGGTCATAAATCACTTTTTTCAGTGCTTTTGTAACTTTGAATTGACATTAAATGAATGGTTATAAGTTGAGGACTACCTATACCACTTTTTCCAACTAAGAAATTTTATTAAAAGGCATAAACTTTCATGAGCTATAGTTCATCAGCTGCATAGAGTGGTTGTCCTGCATTGTAGACAGATTGCTGATTTTTGCTAGTAAGTAGTAATATATAAATAGGAACATAACCTTAATGAATAACAAGTAATCAATGCTGTTTGATAAAAAAAACAACAACCCAAAATTAAATTTGGTTTTGTGTTAGTGAAACGGAATAATAAAAGGTTGTTTATCATTTTTTCCAAATAACGGGTTAATGTTAAACCTTCAACTGATATCTTTTTAGTCAGGAGTCTTTTCTAATCTACTTGGGGATTATCTATATTCTAATAATGGTACACAAGATTTTACCTACAGGAGAAAATAGATTTAAAAGGATATTGCATAATTCAGTAGTTTAGATATTTTTTAACACAGTTCCACTTAGAAAGTTATATTATGGCAGGAGTAAGTATGTGCAGTTGTGATAAAATGTTTTAAATTTTGCATGGGTTACTCACTTTTGCCATTCTCTAAGCTTGCATGGTCTTATTGTCCGGTTTGGCAAGGGTGGGGACTATAGATGCAACTTTTCAAGTGGCTGTTTATAAACTTTAAGTAATTTCTGTTTGAGGGGGTGCAGGGATTTTTGAGTCAATCTTGATTCGCTAGGATTATGTACCAAGAAATCCAGAATAAGATATATTTTAATTAAAAGACAGTGGCTATAAAGTCACATGGGTTTAAAACCATAAACCAAGATTTATAATAGTGGTTATTGAGTTTCCATACCACTCTAAGCCAAAACCTAACAAACATATATAGAATATGACTTACTTATTTATAGTTGGTTGCTTAGGTGTAGAGATTCTTAAAAATCTACACCTTTTTTAAAAAAAAGCTTCCTTTCCAAATAGAAGACAAGATATTCTACATCTAAAAATGTTTTAGTCACAAAATGTAATGAAACATTTCCTTGAATTTTTAAGCCAGTTAAATAGAAATAATGGAATCCTGTAGGTAGACTATTAAAAATAATTTACATTACTTTGTTTTTTTACATAGTGAGATTATAAAGTTTAGCAATATAACTCTTTATCTCCTGTGAGGTGTTTATGTGGTGTTCATTTTCTTTTTATTATTGATGTATTGATTCCAAGCCATATTTTGGTAGTACACTGTGCTACCTCTGTAGAAATGTGTATGATACTGCCAACAGTTCCTTTTACCATGTTGAATCATACTGTTCTATCAGTAAATCAATACTTTGTTAGAATTCTTTTGATTTTATTTCAAAATTGATAATTATTTTAATTCATTTGTATATTTAGTTTTCTCAATTTGATGAAGGTAGAAATGAAAATTTAGAACTTGGACTTTAAAATCTTTTTTTTTCATCCCTTCTATCCAGAAGTAAGATCTACTGACTTACTACCTAACCTAATGTAATTTAGGTAGTTAGATTTAGTATTGCAGCCGGAACAAAATTTAAGATAGTGGCTGTTTTTGTTAAATCTGCTCAGCGGTTACAATTACATTGAACCATATTGAAGTACAGTTACTAGGTTTAGTTGAATAACATCTTTATTGTTAGCCCTTCATATATGAAGCATCATTTAGCTTTTTCCTTATAAAACTTGGTTTCATTTAAAAATATAAAAAGTTAAAAATGAAGCAGAATAGTTTCAATCAATTTTGAATGCTAACCAGCAATATTTTATTGAAAAACCAGAACTTTTTTCTTATTAATTGTTGATAGTTTACAGTTTGAATGATTACATGATAGTATTGAATACAGCTACCACTTTTTTATGTTATGAATTTGCATTTTAATTTGTATAGTTTATGAATAAAAGCCCTTAATGTATTTAGCTAAATGCAGAGGTCATTTCTGCTTGAAAACCATATGTATGACAAGCAGGGCTTTGGTTTATATGGTCCTTCCTGCTTCGTATTCAGGTATACATTGAGTGTTTAGGGGAGTGGAAGTTCATTAAAGTATTGTGTAATGCAGGAAAACACGTGGAGTAAAAAGAAAGAACATGGGGGAAAAACTTTTTAAATGAAAAAGCCCTAGACCATCCCAGCATCTAACACATCTTGTTTGGCCTTAGAATTAAACAGGATCAGGCCCTTTAATAATGGTAGACCTGTAGATGCTATCAAATTGTAGACTATAAACACTTCCTGAAAGAAACTAGTTGACAACAACTTCCAGGTGCTGGCTATCAAACTTGATTTAAAGGAGACTTTGCCTTGGTATGTGGTTTTTTCCTTCCCTTTCACATTTTTATTTTCAATTTACATAAGCTTCCATTTGCCTTTATTTGCCAAATAGTAAATTATTTTTGCTTGCCAAGACTTGCAAACCATAGCTTGTCAGTTGATCTAGAAGTAAACTAAAGAGAAGGAATGCTAAACTAAACATACCAGGTGGAATTGACCAAGTCAAATATTTCCTCTGTGCTTTTTTTTAAAAAAAAAAATAGTACCAATTTTGAGCTACCTCGTTCGTGATATATTTCTGGGTTAATGATGTTTTATCAAAATACGTAATGTTAGTCAAATGCAAATATATTGAAGTGAAACTAGTCCTGCATGTTTTTGCAGTTGTGCGTTATATGCCATTATTGTAGATAATTTGGTGAAATTATCAAAGTATGTAATATTTCATTTTAGCTTTTGGAAATCAGTTACCACCCATGCATCAGCAACAGAGGTAAGATTTTATTTCTCTTTAATTTGATCCTTATTCAAGGTAAAAACTTTTATTGGTTTGTTTTAGAAATTTAGAAATTGTTGTGTTATCAGTATCAGAAATGTGCTTTGGAAATTATATTGTCCCTTGTGAGCAGACCAAAAAACTATTGGTTGAAAGTAATGTTCATATAGTTATTTCAATCAGTAATTGAAATAATTATAGCTTCAACTGATTAGGGAATTTTTATTTACTGTTTGCCAGATAATGTTCACCATAGGTGACATTGAAGCAGATGAGGTAATTAGTTGAGTAGGGATAAAAAAATTAGATTTTTAAGTCACATGTTAAACAGCTATGTAGCTGAAAATGCTTGTTTTATACTATGCTACTTCAGTGAAAATTAATTGCATTTCCTTTAATGCGCCATTACACTCAGCAAGATAGATCTAGTTTTCTCCATTAGTTTGAGTTCATATGGCACAAGTCGGATTGTTTCTCACACTTTTTTGAAAATAAGATGCCTATTCAGCATGATGCAGGCAATGTATTTTCTCTTTGTTGCAACACTTGTTAAATATGTTTGTTGTATATACCAAAAAATAAATGAAAAAGTAGGATGGGCTGCATTAGATTCTGCTGTCTCTTGAAATCTTTTAATTGTAATTGTACTTTCTTTGTCCTATTAGTATAAAACATTGCCATAAATAATGGTGTGTTCATTTGAAAAAGAAAATTTAAAAGTTCAAAATGTTATTAAATAGTTTTGGTGAAATTTTCTAACATTTTAGTTCCCATTTATGTTCTTGTTACATATTTTGCTTTGTATGTGACTTTTAACTTTACTAAAAAATGAAATAATATTATGTATCTTTGAAATGCATATAAATTGCAATAAGTTACCAAAATCATACGTTATAAGTGGCTTCAGCATTATTAAAATTTTGATCTTTTAACTAATTGGCTAATGCTTGACTACCTGTGTTAAAATATTAATGGGCTACATTATTTTTTAGGCATAGTTACTTAAACAAATATGGAAACCAAACTGAGTAGAAATAAAATTAGCAAATATATATATTTGATTTGCTTCTTTATTTGGAGAAAATACTTTAGTTCTAACTAGGTACAAATACTAGTTTGTGATGCGTTTCTTTCTCCAGGTCTGTAATGACAGAAGAATACAAAGTTCCAGATGGAATGGTTGGATTCAGTAAGTATATATATTTACTACAGTATATTTAAAACTATTGTGGAGTGCATGGTATTAATGCATTAACTGATTTGTTTGTCCATTTCTCAAGTAATTGGCAGAGGGGGAGAACAGATATCTCGCATACAGCAAGAATCTGGATGTAAAATACAGATTGCACCTGGTAATTATTTCATTTTCTTTATTTTGCTAGGTTACAGTTGGAACATAATTTATTGTTGCATGCACACAAATTAATTTTATTATCTTAAATTGTCAGTTTATGTCAGTGAAATTGAAACAATCATGAATTAGTTGAGTGATCTGTTGCTAAAAATCTTAAAAGCAAATTACTAATATCTGCTTACAAGTGTTCATTCTATGCTATTTACATTTGTAGATAGTGGTGGGCTTCCTGAAAGATCTTGCATGTTGACTGGAACACCTGAATCAGTACAGTAAGTTTCTTCACAAATGCTTTCAGATCATGTTGAAACAATTTTTGTTAAGAGTTTTCTTTCCAAATATGTTCAGTGTTTTAACTTTGCCTAATTAAAATGTCCCAAGCTATATGCTGCTGCACACGAACTATATCTAGTTCTGACTCTGAAATATGAACAATCTTCAGTGCAAAGGTTTCTGATTTTTCAGTTGAATACTTTTACCTAGTCCAGGTGTCGGCAACCCGCAGCTCCAGAGCCACATGCGGCTCTTTGGGCCCTCTGCTGTGGCTCCCTGTCCCATCACTGGTAGGCCTCCCCCCCCCCCCCCCTTTTACTTTTTTGGCTATTTTTGGAAATCCGGGCTGGCTGAGGAACGATCACTAGCCGCTGCAGAGGCTTCCCTTCGGGCAACTCTCCTCTTGTGACCCTCTGGCCAGCTGTGGCTGAACTGGGAGCATGCGTACGCATGGGGAGTCCCTCCTCAAGCAAGCACCAAAGCATAGGAAAGGTGCGGGGCGGCCAGCCGCTCGCTTAAGGAGGGTCTCCCCGCACATGCGCATGCTCCCGGCTCAGCCACAGCTGGCCAGGGAGTCACAAGGGAAGGGGGGTTACCGGAGAGTGCAGGAGCAACGTGGTCCTGTACTTGCATTCGCGCCACATTTGCGCATAAGGCAGCTTTCACTTCCTGCCGCTTTGGGCTAGAGTTCATGCCCTCTGCTTGGCTGAAGAGGTGTAGGGGGTGGGGGATGAAATGGTAAGGCGATGGCCGGAGCCACAGTGCAGGAGAGAACCGCGTCCTTTTAAGACCCTCCTTAAGCATGCACGCCTTTGCTGCGCTTTGACGCTCGGTTGCGGAGGGTCTCCCACACATGTGCAAGTTCCCGGCTCAGCCACAGCCAGCCAGGGGGTCGCGAGAGGAGAAGGGGGAAGGAAGAGGACAGTCGCCCAAAGGGAAGCCTACACCGCTGCTGGCAATCTTTCCTCAGACAGCCCGGATTTCCAAAAAGAAGAAATAAAAGGAGTAGCAAAGTGCCCCAAGAAGAGCTTGCTGGCTTGGCCCAGCTGTGGCTTTCTAAGAGAGAGAGAGACACACACACATACAGAGAGAGGGGGAGGGAACGCAGACATAGAGAGACATATACAGAGTGATACACAGAGAGAGTGGGAGAGAGAGACATAAACACACACACAGTGATACACAGAGGGGAAGAGAGAGAGACAGAGATACACAGAGAGGGACACACAGACAGACACATGTAGAGTGATACACAGAAAGGGGAAGATAGGGAGAGGGACATAGAGATACAGAGAGGGGGAGAGGGAGAATGGTTTTGTGGCTAGGTAGACGTGGCTAGGGGGGGTCATGTGACTGGGTGGGAGTGAGTGACATCGAGTTGGCCATGCCCACCCAAGTTTTGTGGCTCCCGGTGTGTTTTTTTTTGTGGGAAACAGGTCCAAATGGCTCTTTTAGTGTTTAAGGTTACAGACCCCTAGCCTAGTCACTGAAAAATATTACTACTTCCAGGTTGTTTGGAAGATTCAGTAGCTCTACTGAGGCTAGTTTAGAGGTAGTCCTCAACCTAGAACCAGTTTCTTAGCAACCATTTGAAATTACAACAGATCATGAAAGAAAGATAACCCAGATTTGGAATTCAAATGTTTGCAGTTCTGACATGGCCATGTTTTGGGCGCCCAGCAACCAGGCCACATGTACCATCCACAGTCGGATGACAGCAGTTTACAAAGTTTTTTCCAACATATACTTCCAATTCCTGAAAAAAAAAACCCCATCCCATAGCAAACAGTGAATTTGCTTAGCAACCAGTGCAAAAATTGTTATGAAGGTGCAATCACAAGATGACCCACTCTATAATGCTATTATTTTAAGAAAAAGTGCAATAGGTACACAACATGTTCACTTTCGAAGCCTGCATTCACGGTGATTTGTTGAATAGTCTTTTAGCAATACTTATACATTCATGATCAGCCAAGTAACAAAGTTTTGGCTAGAATTCAATTATAATTTTCTCAAGTTGCACACAGCAAGTGAAGTGTACTATTGGTTCAGTGTGGCTTTAGCAGTATGAAGAAATCACATGCATTCTCATTTTCTCTACTTTTCCCATTTAATATTACTGCAAACAATACATTTCAAAGTTTAAAATCAAAAGTCAAAAATAGACTATTTCATGATTTTTAGTTAGCAACCACCCTAAATATTCTGTCAATTGTTGTTATGTTATTTTTTGTTCATTTTTAATTGCAATTTTTTTAATTGCTTTTTTTTTTTTTTTTTTTTTTTTGCAAGATCTGCAAAGAGATTGCTCGACCAGATAGTTGAAAAGGGAAGACCTACACCAGGATTCCATCATGGTGACGGCCCAGGAAATGCTGTCCAGGAAATCATGATTCCAGCTAGCAAAGCTGGATTAGTTATTGGAAAGGGTGGAGAAACTATAAAGCAGCTTCAAGTAAGCTGACAGTTTTTATTTTCTAAAATTATGTGTGAACATTTAATATTTTTATAATCTGAATGCATTAATTTTATTAAATAGGAGCGTGCAGGTGTTAAAATGGTGATGATTCAAGATGGACCACAGAACACTGGAGCAGATAAGCCTCTTAGGATCACAGGAGATCCTTACAAAGTCCAAGTAAGAACAGATTTTAAACATTAAATTGTATTTTTCCCAAGAGAAATTATTGTAAGATCATTGCATCTTATGTGTACTCATTTTTCTTTCAGCAAGCAAAGGAAATGGTTTTAGACCTAATTCGTGATCAAGGTGGCTTCAGAGAGGTACGAAATGAATATGGATCAAGAATAGGAGGCAATGAAGGATTAGATGTGAGTATGATGAATATTTTAGGCAAATTTGTACTTTAGGCCTGTGTTCATCCTTATCTATGGACAAACATAGATTTCCAATTCCTTTCACTAATTTAAACCGTCTTGATTATGATGCTTTACTCCCTGTTAAATACTGATCATAAAATAGACTTTAAAATGCTTAAAAATACTGCAGACTATCTAATTTCTCCTTCAAGTATTCTTGCTCAATTGATTACTGTTGAGTATAATGGTGTTTTTCCTAAAGTAACATATTGATTTGCTTTAAAATTCTTTTTTAACATTTGTTAAAATGTATTGTATTTCTTAAGGTACCAATACCACGGTTTGCAGTTGGTATTGTAATTGGAAGAAATGGCGAAATGATAAAAAAAATACAGAATGATGCTGGTGTAAGGATTCAATTTAAACCAGGTAGAGTTCCTCCATGGGAAAATACATAGATTGCATGTTTTTATCTATAATACTTAAATACTTGTAAAAATACTTATTGCTCTTGTAGATGATGGAACAACCCCTGATAGAATAGCACAGATAACAGGACCACCAGACAGATGTCAGCATGCAGCTGAAATTATTACAGACCTTCTTCGAAGTGTTCAGGTTGGTTAATAGTTTAGCCAAGTTTTTAATATCTCTTATAAAATATTTATGTTTGCTTTTTCATAACCTTTATTAGGAAGACGTGTGCATGAACATTTTTCTGTTAAAACTAATTGAGATGTCTGCAGTTTATAAATTTGTATTTCACTGGTTCTGTGCCTCTAGTAATGAGTTTTATTCAGCAGTAATGCTTTAAAAGCATTGCTTATAAACCATATAAGATTTTTGAAACAGCCAATTTCTTAAAGAAGAAAGATACTTGGCTATTCCAAACGTGCTTTTTCAAGGGGCAACTGGACTTAGTTTTTCCTTGAAGACACTTCACTTCTCATCCAAGAAGCTTCATCAGTTCTTGGATGAGAAGCAAAAGGTCTTCGAAAGTCCAGTTGCCTCTTGAAAAAAAGCACCTTTGGGATAACTGTGACCTAGATGACTGAGAATCTCCATAGACATAAAGCTACTTGGAAATTGATAGACATAATTTTCAGTTGGAAGTGATGCTAAACTTGTGTGCTGTGCCATGATCCTTACATTAGGAGTCGGTGTGCTATGCCCGCAGGTACCACAGTTATTTGTGGCATTCCCAAATATTTTTGCATATACCCCGAATTATTTTATGACTGATATCATGTGATACTGCCAGTTCAGTGGTGTTTTCACTTAATCTCCCCATGTCCCTTGCTCTTAGGAGGGAGAATAGAAATCTTACAAGCAATAATGGCTTAGAATGATTTATTTCATTTATATCCTACATTTACTCTGGGAACTCAGCCTAGTGAATTGTATTTTATTTTCATAGCGTAGGTTGAGCCAAGAGTTCATGAACATTCCAGAATTACCAAGTGAGGTTCATAGTCAAGTGAGGGCTTGAACCTATATTACTATTAATCCAGATCCAGATAGTAAGCTAGCGTACTAGGAAGAAGAAAAATCAAGATGGTTATTGTTTTGTTCAGAAAAATGTTTTCTCTGTTTAAATGAAATAGTTTGGTTGTTTTGATTGGTAGTTCTGTGAAGAAAAATGACATACTGTTGACTTTTACAGAAGTCTTACCTGCCCCTCTCTTGTTTTAAGGCAATTGTATTTTCCTATAAAGGCAAAATAGAAATAATGCTTCTGCAGAACACAATATTTTTTCAGTATTGCTAATTACAATTCTTTTCACAATTTAGGCTGGCAATCCTGGAGGTCCAGGGCCTGGTGGTCGTGGTAGAGGAAGAGGTCAGGGAAATTGGAATATGGGACCACCTGGTGGACTGCAAGAATTTAATTTTATTGTTCCCACTGGAAAAACTGGATTAATCATTGGGAAAGGTAAAAAGCTTGACTTGCTTCTTATGAGATAGAACAATAAATAAGCCATTTTCCTGTTTGAGGTCAGGAGATGGCATTATCGTTGAATAACTCATTTCCCGGTCCTTGTTGAAGTATCTCCCTGATAATAAAATCTGGCTGCAGAACTTTTGTACAGAAAACGATAGCAACTAAGATACAGCAAATGAACTTTACCCAGTAGTAGTGTTACTGTATTTAGCCACCTTACACTGAAAGTGATTACTTCTGGAAATGGACTCCTCATTATAAATAAGAATTCTTCTATCCTACAAATCAAAACAAAACAATAGGATTTATGATACCACCATCCTAGGAAAAAGATTGGACCATATGTAAAGTCTTACATATCCAGTAAGGAATTGAAACTAGACCTCACAGTTAACATAATTCTTTGACTTTTCTTCAATGATTTTTAACTAGGTGCAATACTGATTGCAGCTAATTTATTTCCCTAAACGTTTCTTAGAAAGCAGTTTAAACTGCTTTTTCACTGTCTATTACTGTTCCTGAAATCTGTTGTTTCCTGAATTACACTTGAACATTCTAATTCTTTTCAATTTTTATAAAAGTGTCACATTTAGAATAGTTCTTTGGGTAAGATATGAATCACATCAGCTGTCCAGATGTCAACAAAATGAGTGACTCAGCTAATAATAATAGCCTTTATTGTCATTGCACGTCATGTATACAACGAAATTGGTTTAGCTCTGTAATCTTTGGTTAATTCATTCACAAATAAAAACCTCATGTGATTATTTCAGTTGAAGCAATATTTGAAAATACATTCCATGTATTTCTCTCATTCCTGCTACTTTGTATACTCATGATACTAGTTTATTGAATGCCTCATACAGAAGATGAAAGTGGAACTTTCAGTGGAAAGTGGGTTCAGCATTAAAACCTGCCAAACTCGGGACTCTCAACAACATACTGTTCTATTTTCAGATACGTATGTTGCAAATGTATCTCTGAGCTTCTCTGATTTCTTAAAGCAATTAAAGCTATTCAGAGTTTTCCAGAATCTCGACTGTGAATTGAAACTGGAACAGCTTGCACAGTTGAAGACTACTGTATAGATGACGACACAAAATTACATGGTTCTTGATCTCCAAGAAATAAAATTTACCACTACAACTAGGAACAAAAAATGGGTTAAAAGTCAGGCAGAAAATAATGTTTAAAACTATACATGCTATATCAGTAGTAATATAATGTCGCCAAGATAGTTCTGTTCTCACTTCGGAAGCAAGCAGAGATGATTTTTGTTGTTATTCTTTCTAATGTTATTAATTTAGATAGATTACAGTATAATATAATTTTTTTGTAAATTCAGGTGGTGAAACTATCAAGAGCATTAGTCAGCAATCTGGTGCAAGAATAGAACTTCAGAGAAATCCACCACCAAATGCAGATCCCAACATGAAATTATTTACTATTCGAGGGACACCACAACAGATTGATTATGCTCGGCAGCTCATAGAAGAAAAGATTGGAGTGAGTTCTGGAAACAGCTCTTTGTTAATGTTTTGTTGTACAAACAGCTGGCTAAGTACAGAATAGGATTAGCTTTTTAAATTTTCTCTTTGTTCAGAATGATATAATATTGCTAGCTTTGAACAGTCCCATTTAAAATTACAATTGTCAAATTTGTTGCCTATTCTTAAAAGTCTAATGAGAAATTTAAATGTGGATTGCTTGTTCTGCACAGTCTACTGAATGATGAGAATTCAACGTATTCATTAAAAAGTGTATAATTTAGTAATATGAAATACAGAAAATTAATAATTATGGAAATTATTATGAAATGTCTGTATAAATTGTCCTCAAGTTACAATGGTAACTGGGATTGGGAATTTCCATCAATGGGTGAGACAATCAAAGTGTGATGTAATGTGTCCACATGCTTAGCAATGGCAAGCCCAGAATTCCCTGTTATTGTTAAGCAAGAACTGTGGGACATTAAGTGAGCATGTCCACAACTTCCTGCTGACTTCCAGCAACCAAAATTGGGGGAAGCTGTCAAGAAGTTGCAAGTCCCAGGCAGCTTGCAAACACGCAGTAAGTGGCTGCTGCCAGATGGGAAGGGAGCAAGGGAGTGCATGGGTGGTTGGGGTGCCATGATGCAAGAGCAGCAGCTTGAGGTGGCAGCTGCTGCATTGGAATATATGCAAGAGTCTGCATATATTCAAGAGATCGAAGGACTGGTGATAACTATTGTTCACTCATTCAGTACAGTCATAACTTTGAACTAGCACTCATTAACCAAGAACTATCTGTAATTTGAGTAAACTTCCCTTTGATCTCTTACTTCTCTGCCGCCATCTGTTCTGATGTGGGCAGAGGGGTTGCAAGCTAAGGAGATAACAGTTATGTTAGAGATAGTCTTCAGGTTATGACCATTCGTTCAACGACTAAAGTTATGATGGCACTGAATGAATTATAATTTGGACCAGTCCTTGAAATTCTGGATGTCCCAATGTGCTTGTCAAGTGGCTTGCACTTACAGTGGTTGCAGCATTCTACATACACATGACTGTAATTTGTGATCTTTCCTATCGACTTTCCACAAGCAAAGTTTTTCTTCCCAAGCCATGCCGCGTTTTTAGGAACTGTTGAAAACAGGCTGCATATTAAAAATGTATATCCTCATTAGTTTATCAGCTTGAGGAAAGAGAACCCTTCCACTAGTTTTAGTAATAGCCTGTTTGTGTCTATTTAGGTTTTGCCCTTAAGTCCAGTGTTCTTAAACTGGGGACTATCTGTACAGTGTAATCTTACACTTGCTATTGATGTAGAATAACCTAACTTTTATAACTTATCTTAACAGGGTCCAGTAAATCCTTTGGGGCCCCCTGTGCCTCATGGACCTCATGGTGTTGTTCCTGGGCCACATGGACCCCCTGGGCCGCCTCCTGGGGCTCCAATGGGACCTTACAATCCAGCTCCTTATACCCCTGGCCCTCCTGGTCCTGCACCTCAGTAAGTATTGTACACTAGTAGATATGTTTGCAGAGCAAGATGTTGTTGGATTGGGATCTGGATTTCATCTGTAGATTCTATGCAGTTTTTAAATGTGTTCTATAATCAAACTCTTAGAAGCATTCACTTTAGAGATTTCTCTAAGAGAAAGGGTATCATTTAACTGAACATTTATTCTGAATTAAAATATATATTATAAACACTTTAATTCATATTAGGTGTGCTGTAAATCATTAGTTCTGAAGCATATATATGACGGGATTCTAGTAGGCTTTCTAGGCCAATTCTCTTCTTTATGGAGATAATCAGAACTTTCTTAGTAGATTGCAATCTATCTTTTGCAGCAGCTATTTTACTACTTGATCTAATTATATATTACATTTTCATTTTAGTGGACCTCCAGCACCATATGCTCCACAAGGATGGGGTAATGCATATCCACATTGGCAACCACCAAATCCCCCAGACCCTGGTAAGTAAAAGCAAATGTATAAATGGTCTTAGTTTGCAATGAGATGCACATTAATCACATATTTTAGTAAAGAAAATAAACTAAATCATTCATTAAGACATATTCATTTGTTTTTGGCAGTCTAATAGCAAATTAAAACTGTAATGCAAAAATTACTTGTGAATAGGGTCATTCAAAAACATTAAGACACATTTAAGCACAGATAGTTGTGAAAACCCAGTGTCTATAAATTATGTTTACGCATAATCCTTGACTAACAACCACAATTGGGACTGGAATCTCAGTTGTTGGGTAAAGTGGTCATTAAGCAAGATGCCCATTTGACTGTTTCTCTCAACTACTGCAATCTCAGCACTCCTAGTTGTGGTTGTTAAGCAATCTTGCAGGTTAAATGGAGAGAGTCCCAGATAAGGAGCACGGTGCCTTGGCAGGAGACCTTGAGAGGTTCTGCTTAGGAGCTCAAAATCCAAGCTCCTGAACAGAGAGCCACACCTGGCCTACACCAAACTGCCCTGGGCCTGCCCCACCTGCCTGAGATACCTTACCCATACTCCTTACTTTACTGTGCTTCCCTCCACTCTGCTTGGATTTTGGGAGCTGGCTATAAAAGAGCTGCCTATCAAACTATTTCAGCTCCCTTCTGTATGGAAGGAAACTCCTTCAACAGGTGCTGGAACAAAGTTAAAATCTGGCAGAGAAAATTGCAAATGGCAAAAGCAGGATCGCAGGCCACTTTATAGCTGGTCTAAACTTTGAACAATTGCCAAGCATCCAGTTCACAATCATGTGACCATAGGAGTGGTGGTGCAACATTTTGCAACTGCCAGAAGTTCTTTATGGGCCATAAAGCACCCTTTCCAATGCCATGATATCTGGGCTGTCATTATATGAACAGTAATGAACCGATTACCTGTATGTTGAATATTTCAGATAGCCAAAATTCACCCTGAATTAAATATGGAGTTAAATTTAGAACCAATACTTTTGATTTTTAAAAATATGACTTTAAAATATGACTTCATACTTGATAATACAACTAGTGGAATTGCTTTCTAAACCAGCTATAAATGTATTTATTATTCAAAAGAAGGTACCACATGATTTATTGCATTTCCTCAAGCTTGCATAAAATGCAGTCCAAATCTTAAAACAACACCTCAATTCCAAAAGTGACATTCACATCAAACAAACCAAAATAATGCTACTTTGAATGAAGAACAATCCTAGTACAGACCCCATTTTGTATTGCTTACATTGATAGATGGATGGAGAGAGAGAGATAGAGAGAGAGAACTATTTTACTTCTGGAGAGTTTATTTTATAGATCTATCTTTCATAAGAATGAATGTAAATGGCAACTGATCTTAGTGATCTTGAGATGTTGAACTAAATGCCATGCATAATTTTCAGGTAAGCCAGCAGATCCTAATTCAGCAGCATGGGCAGCCTATTACGCCCACTACTATCAACAGCAAGCACAGCCACCCCCTGCAGCTCCACCTAGTGCACCACCTGCCACTCAGACTAACGGACAAGGTACCGTGCTTGTATCAATATAACAAATATACCAAAATAGCTTTTTTAATGTTGAAGTATCTTATTCAAACCTTAGAATATTTTGAAAGAGTTGTTTTATTATAATTTCATCAATTAAATATTTGAAGCTTTGTATGTTGTAAGATGGTTTCAGTACTAAAATCAGTAAGACAAATCTAAAGATGTTTGGGACAGCTAATTTATGATAAGGCATTAGATTGATGAGAATTTTAACCAAAGTTGGGCTGGGATTTGGGCAACTTTCCAGTAATCTCCATATCTCTTCCTTACTAGTTTTTTTATATTCCAAGCAATTATGTTGATGAGCCAATTAAATACAACTCCCAGGATATCATCCTTCTCATAAAATGTGTCCAGAATTTAAGAAATACTTTTTTTCTAAAGTTATTCCTCAGGAAAAAAATCTAAATTCATACAATATGCCAAAATGTTTTAGTAATATGGGAATGAGCCCCGAGCAATAGTAGACTTGCCTTTTCACTACTGCAGTCTGGAGTTTGTATACATTATCTTGGCTTTCGGTTTATGCTTTGCAAGCAAATGGGTTACTCAACTTCGTTGAAATTGAGTTGATGTTAAATCAGGGTATAAAATCCTGTACTGTGTAAAAAAGGTGGGGGTAATAGGCTTGTGAAGTTAATACCATTCAAGCTTGGTTTCGTAAAGAAATGTAGGGTTTCAGTTTTAATTTTAAAGTATATAAGAGAAATATGACAATAATCAGCAGGAATTGTGAAAAATAGTCCAGTAGAACATACTATGATTGTACTAGGTGAAAACCCAAAAACTGAATTTGAATCTAAAATTAATTCAGATCAACTTAATGATTTAAAGGTTTATATCATATTTCCAATCAAATGATTACACATGAATCGACAAAAATAGTGTTCTTAACTTGAATTGTATATTCTTCCAAATATTCTATTTGGTTTAATGATGGTAACAATGTGGACACATGCAACAGCAAATGTTGCCATTACAAGGGTTTTGTGTGTGTGGACCTCTAAGGGGCACGTATTAGTCATGGAGACAGATTGATTTGTGCATAATAACTGTTCCAATTAAATATAACTGAAACAGTTGAATCATTGAGGAGGTCTGATTTATCTCCCCAGATAAAGAAATGTACATATCTTAATGGTTAAAAGATGGGGCACCTGCAGCTAAATTCTGTGCATGATAGGTGCAAATAAGGCATTTCTAAACTGAGACGTGCGAAGTATTCGAAAATAAAAATGTTAGCTCTTGATGTAAGATTTTTACTCTTAATTAGAATAAAATATAAGTGATTGGAACTGAATCTTTTTAGTTTTTTATTTTACTCACACTATTTTTTGTTCAATCAGGAGATCAACCAAATCCAGCACCAGCAGGGCAGGTAGATTATACCAAGGCTTGGGAAGAATACTATAAAAAAATGGGTATGTTTTATTTACTTTTGATTTTAGTATTTTACTTCTCAGAAGTTTTACTGATTCATACACGATTTTATTTTGAAAAAACAAAACTCCTTTTGTTATTTGAGTGTGCAGAAAGCTTTTATGGCATCTTTACATTTACAGAGGAAAAGGTGCATTGTGCAATCTAATTTTCGTAGTTTGATTTCTGCAACAAAAAACCAACAACTAGGAGTAGTCTTGCAAGCATTATCATTTATATGGGAAAAGTTAAGTTTAATAAGGTTTATTTGATAGACTTAAACTGGGCACATTTCCAAAACTGCCAAAACAATTTTTAGTGGAAACATTAGTACTTGAGACTAAAAGCCACTAAATGAATCCAGTCCATTGCCTCATGTCAGAATGTTTCCAGCAGCTAACATGGGAACAAATAAGAAAAAAGTCAAAAATTACTTACCAAACTTTAATTTTTACTGTTCCATTATGGTCAAAAAAAATAAAATACATTTATTATAGTCTTTGACTAGTCTTCGTAGTAAAAATGAGAAACAGTTTAACGCAAAAATTTGTTATTGGGAAAGAAAAAAACAATAGGATAGTATAACATCTAATTTAAAATTTTGCGCAGTTGTATGACATGGTGAATATATTTAGCCACCTGTTATTTGAATGTGGGGTTAGCATCCCTTAAAAAGTAATTAATCTAAAATTTATCAGAGTGGCCCTCATATTTGGAAATGATTGAGAGGATCAGAGCATGTCTTTGAGCATAGTAAAAAGGACACAAGCATGAGTTTACTTCCCTGAATCCACAAGGGAAAAGTCTCTGCAAATAAGGAGTCCCATGAACTCAGTAGAATAGACCTAATAGGACGGCATCAAAGCAGGCTCTAGAAGACGCCTATCTATACTTGCTTAGGGTTAGATTGTATTGATACTTTGCTAGGGAGATTCCATTGTGATCTCCTGTTTCTCATATCAGATGTGTTAAGACAGAATTTTTGTGTCAAAATTAAATAATTCAGCAGTTAAACTGGATCCAATTCCATTCATTTAAAAAATATATCTACCCTTTAAAGTGCAAGACCCCAAATCTTCTGATACTGTAAACCCTATTCTGGTATTAATGTTCTTGAAAGCACATATAAGTAAAATGTATTCATAAAATGCTAGTCCTAGAATATTTCATTGTATCAGCAATATTTACCATTTTCTTTATATTTTCCATTAAACAATAAAATTGAATCTGAATCACAAATGCAGCTATTCTAGTTTCATGTTCTGTTGTGAAACTACATTTAATATGGAAGTAGTAGATATGAAATATGTGTGTCCTTTTTGTTAGATAGGTGAATACATGCAATAGCTCTAATTTTATTTTGTTGGAAGCCACATATATGTGTTTGCATTTGCATCCAGTGCCATCAATGAAAAGCCTAATTTGAAATAGGAGATTCTCTCAGTAATTGGTTCTAGTCTGGTGTTTGCCAGAATTAGATGTTAAAATTATGCCATCTTAATAGTCATTATCACAATATTAATTCCCAAAGTGTTCTCAATCTAATTTCCTTTTTAATAGATGCAAGAGATTTTAAGTGTAAATTACTTTCACAGCACAATAAGAAAATATAACTTGCACTCCTGATTTTGATAATTTGATCCATTTTATATATTCTATACTAAATGCTGTATACATTTCCATTTACCATATTGAGTTTTGCTAAAATTTGGCACTGGTTAATTTTTTTGAAGGACTTAATTGTATATCTTCTAAATTCCTTCTAACTTTGTAACACTGAATCTTAAATACTAATTATTTAAGGTTCAAATTAGCATGTTATAATTTTTATTTTTATAAATAAAAGTTTATTTTTTTAGTTTAGAATTTTTATCCTTTCTCCAGTGAGATTAGTAGTTGGCAAACTATTTTGACAACATTATATGATGTTAGACAATTGTCACAGAGATGACATCCCCTCCTACATGTTAAGTATACAAATGTAACCTAGTTACAATTAGTGTCTATCCCAATAAGGTGTTGCTTATAACTAGTTTTGATAGTTTCAGAATTGGAATTAATAGGATTAGAAAATATTGTAATATCCGTTTTTCTTTTTGTGCCTTCATTTTTCTCAATGCAACTGTCTTCAAAATATGAATTGTCTTAGTTTTGAAGTATTGTATTCCACACATTTTCATCACATATAGAACGATTCACTTCAAGCTAAATTTAAGTAGGTAGGGTAGGAAAATTCATGATCATCAGATATAATGCTCTTTTGATGTTAAGCATGCTGCCTAAATTGGTTTTAGATACTAATTTATATATAGTCCGAAGAACCAGAATGAACTAATAATGGAGAAACTGAAGCCATAGAACTAATATATGAGCTTTTGGACATTATCTTAACATCCATCACAGAATTTATTCTGAAAATAAATGCATAGCAATTTGACATATGAATAAGAATTGAAATATTAGTATTATTTTAAATCTGTACACCATTCTCGATTTACTTTGTTAAATACAAAACGACTGACCCATATGTATCTTAAGTTTCTCGTTATCCATTTTCTTTTATTGTTTATATTAAATATAGTTGGAAAAAATTTGAAATATTTAATTAAAAATAAGATTAATCAGCAATAAGTTGATTTAAAAGCAGCTTTATGGTTGCTGAACGGTTTTAGCTATTCTGCATTCTTTTACTACATGCTAGTCCTGAAAAACAAAAGTTAACCTAAGTATTAAGCATATTTTGATAAAAACGTATGTTTTTTTAATATTGGAAAACATTTTCATATTTAGAAGGAAAAGAGCACATATCCTTGGGTACAGATTTCAGGGCAAGTTCCCTTAGGGTGTGCCCCCCCCCCCCCATTATATTATATAAACCATATAATGAGAATAGTTTTTCTACACACTTGCATAGAATATGGGATACATTTCCAAGCATTTTCAAACAAGCAAAAGTAGGTTGGATTATGCAAGATGGTTTGTATGAATTATTGGCCTATCATAATACCTATGTTGAGCAAACATAGATATACAGCATACAACAGACTACTGTATATAAATTGAACTCAAATTAATAAATTTTAAGTATTAAAAACTAGAACAAAAATTAAAATATTAGATTTTAATATTTTCTGATTTTCACTATACATCAAAACAAAACGACAAAGAACTCTTCCATTGTATTCTTGACTGTAATTGTGGTATACATGGGAGCTGTGTTTACATTAAAATGTGGGGGGTTTTGCAGGTCAACAAGGGCAGCCACAAGATTATTCAAAGGCTTGGGAGGAATATTACAAGAAGCAAGGTAATGTTCGTTAGAAATGAGATTATTTTGAGCTTCCTTTGCCCCTTTTATGGCACCAGAGTTGTGTAATCTACATTTGTTCTAGGTCAAGCTGTTCCAGCTCCAACTGGAGCCCCACCGACAGGTCAGCCAGATTACAGTGCAGCATGGGCTGAGTACTATCGACAGCAGGCAGCTTATTATGCCCAGACAAGTCCACAAGGAATGCCACAACATCCTCCAGCACCACAGGTAAAACAGTCTTGAATTATTTAGCTAATATTTTAGTGAGATACTTCTTTCAATTTTTGTGGGGTGGAATTTTGTTTGTTTTTGCATGTCTCCCACATAGATACCTTTCTGAAGTATGCATTTTTCCTGATAAAACGTAACTGCAAATGAATTAATGCTCTTTTAACTGGAGATCTGTGTTTGTCTTTGCATACATTCAGTGTTTGTGATCTAAAAATTTCTCCTCAGGGTTTTTGAAAGCCATGCAGGAAGCCACCAACATTGCATTAACCAAATTTTCTTTCTTAAAGGCTTCACTCCTGAGTTAGCGCAATTTTTTAAAAAATATTTTCTTTAACTTTTTGTGTATTTCTTATGTATTTCTTCGCACAGGGCCAATAATAAGAAGTGGACAATACAGTATTTGCTTCATTATGTGGGGGAAAAAAACCTTTGTTAAATGTATGGATGCAGACGCCTTGATGAAGATCATAATTTTGTTTGGTTTAAAAATAGTGTTTTTTTGAAATGTACAAAATATCTATCACAACTGATAGGAGGTAATATTTCTGTGTAGAAATGGAAATTGGTTTGTTTTTAGTACATTAGTGTAGATGTACACATTCCAGCAAATGTATTTGCAACTATTATGTGGTCAATGCTTTGTGATATAAATGTACTTTTTCAATGTATACTTGATCACTTTTAAATGCTTGTTTTGTGCTTTGCAATAAATAATATGAAACCTCCTGTGTTGGTAAGTTGGATATGTGGGTACTCAAGAGAATTCAACGATATTTTTTTTAGTAATTCTGTACATGTACACAAGTAAGACTTTTCCCCTCTCTTTTAAGTTCAGGCTTGATGTTGGTATTTCCCCAGAATAGCTTTAGAGGGATCTCTTTTGTGATTGTATGTTACTATTTAGCATTCTGATATCTTCCTCTCTTTCTACTTGTATAAAAATTGCATGTATGTGAAGGTATTTCTTGACATACTTCTGCATTAACAGTTGAAATTTCTTTTTTATTCATGACCACTGTCCCAGACCCGTATAGCTGCTATAGTTAACATTTGTTTTATGTATGATTTAATTCTTCAGTATATTTTCCAGACACATTATTAAAGTCAGTTATCTAGAAAAACAAAATGTGCTAAGCGGTTGGTTTGCAGCACTTTGCTATAGAATTCAGTGTAGTAAGGATGATTATGCTTTTTAGTTATAAAACTGCATTTGTTGTAGAAACATGCTGTTTGAGTCTTGGAATGTTTAATGAAAAAAAAGGTTTTTTCAGATAAGGTCTGTTTTTAAATGTTGAAAGACTAGTTTTTAAGTTATGTTTGAAAAGTCTCTGTCATACGTTTTACTTTTAATAATTCTAATTGAAAATTGGTGTTCTGTTAAAATCCACTGTTTGCTTTTTTGCATATATTAGATTACATGCAATACAGTTTGTCTTGCCATTGTCTGTTGAAGTGCAGGTTTGATCCAGCCAGTATAGAACTAGCTCTGTAGGGGTGAGGAGGACTGTGCTGTGTATCATCCTTGATTGTTCCTTCAAGGAGCATTGCACTGTAAGTACATCAGAGTGACAAAATGATGAACTGCAACAGTATCTTTTTGTCAGTGTTCCACATAATGCAAATGCCATACCTGTGTGAATATTATGTTGGAATAAAATACAGTGCTGATATTTTAGAAAATTACAATTGGTTGTTTAATCAGATACCTAGATATGCATAAATATGTGTGTGTGTATGGGTAAGTATTTTGAGATATTTAGCTTTAGCTAAAGAATTCATCAATGAACTAACATTGTTCATTAGGGTTTCAGAAATGAGATATATTCAGATATCAACTTATAAATTGTTAACATTTAAAAATGCTTGTCAGGAGGAAGTTGTTTTTGTCTTCAGTTGTCTGCATATATTTAGTGATGCAGCTATATGCTATTTTTCTAAATCTTTATTAGCCTTATCTTTAGAAAATCATTTTGTTGTTTTGGAGTGTTCACTTAGAGTGGCTGCAAGAGAAGAACTGAATGTGGTCTAAAATGAAGTAGTATTATTGCAAAAATAATTAGAAATGCATTTGTTCTACTGTAGAATCAGGAGGGATTTTTTTTTTATCCCAGTTTAGTTTAGGATTTACATTTTGAAAAGACTACTAGAAGTTAATAAATATATAGAGAAGTAGGTTATGAAGTCTCTTAAATATTTTGCATGTTAAATCTGTAGCTTATTGGAAAATGGTGTAGTTATTAACTAAACAGAACAAACATTCACCTGATTCTTTATCATTCACCAAATGGAGGCTGTTGATTTTGATTCATTTAAAGTATAAAATCTTTATTAATTGCAAACAGTGCAATTATTTATACTTCACAGTGCCTTCCCAGATCTTCCACCTTAGGTTCTGCTGCAAAAAGCACAGGTAAGCACAACCTAAGGAAGTGTATAAATACATATTTCAGTATATCAATGTTGTCCCTGTGAGAATTTTTTTGTGCTTGTGTATTCAAAAGCAATCTGCCAATATCTTTTCCCAAATGTATTCTGCTATTCATGGTTTCATTCCAATGAGAATTCTGAAACAATTATTTACATTTCTGGGTAAATGTGTATCTTTATTTTTTTTTAAAGATAAGTGGATTGCTGCAATAATTTTTGAGTAAGTCACTTTTACTATTTTCCCTCAATAGTTGTTACAAATGAATATAAAGTATTTTTTCAAGATGCAGGAAATATTGGTCAGAACTTCAACAGCCTTCACAAATGCTTTTATAATGTGGATGTTATACCCAAATACTACGTATTCGAATATACTGTATGTTTCTCTCAATCTTAAGATGATACACCATAAACCATAAATTAATGTAGCTTGATTATTTCATGCAGAAGAAAAAGAAGTGAGATTTTACTTTTGCAAAATAGTTCTAAAAAATATTGTGCCAGTGATATGTTAACAAGTTTGGCAGATCTTTTCTTTTTATAGCAATTTCCTTCCTACTTTGCTATTTCAGCTGAATTGCTGTATATTTTTGCTAGTTTTAAAATGTTTTGTATATGACTTACTTAGGTAGCTTAATTTTCAGTTTAAATAGACAATTTTAAGGCAGTACCATCAGTTTTTGTTTGTCACTTAATAAAATGTTTTGATTTTATCGAAAGTCCTGCTTTTCTGTGCATGAAAGGAAAATATTCAAAAACCCTGCCTTCATTTTCACACACAGTGCTGAAGATGCTGCAAGCACCAAATCATAGCTCATAAAATCAGGTCCTGAGGTAGTTACTTCCAATAAAGAGGATTCCTTTGAGTGTATGGCCCTGGTGAGCCGATGAGCATGGACCATAGAAGGGCTCCATGTAGAAGGTAAAATTGGCAAAAACAATACCGATTTTAAATGTATCCCATACTTAATGGTGTAGGGTATAATTTGCCTGTTTTTATCGCTTCTCATTCTTTAAAGTGCTATTTGCTTGACCATAAATGTTCCATAACTTGTTATGTGGTAATTATAAAAATTATTTATCAGTTTACACTTTGCTAAATAGTCAAGCACGGGATATGTCTTGCGTTTACAACTAAATCAGTAGTTGTACTTGAATTCCCTCAAGCCACTTTATTTTATTTTAGGGGGGGTTATACTTGATATGTCAGATTAATTTTTATATGAAAGCTAGCTACATGCTGAAGAGCTTCATCTTGGTTGAATTTTGTTTCACCATTATAAAAGAAAACTTGTTTTTTTCCTATTCATTTTTAACAAACAGCATACATTGAAATTTAAGTCAAAGACAGGAGATGTAACAGGGGAAAAAGTTGTTGACGTAGGAGGTGAAGATCTGCGTTAATAATTTTTGTTTCGGTGGACCTATAGGCATCTTCTTGTACTATAGCTTTTATTTTTGGTTTGTCCGATTTCTTTCAGAAAGATAAGGTTGGATTGAAGTGTTCTACTCTCAATATGGAACCTTTGAGCCGAATCCATAGATAGTTTTTCTTTGTGCAGTTTGTGTGTTATAGCAGGAAAATATTTCTAAATTCTAATTGAATCCCAGGATTAAATGAAAGTAATGAATGTTTTAAAACAGAGGAACATCTTAATTTCAGCTAATGTCTTTAGATTATCTGTTGGTATGTGTTCTGTATAGGATATTTGCTAGTTAAAAAGCAATCTTTATCTAGAGTTTTGTAAATTACACCTCAGTGATCTTGATAGGTAGGCTATATCATTCACTAATCCTTTCTTCTAAAAATATTGTCAACTGAGATACATTTCATAAGTTTGAGGGTAGAATTTTACATTTTTCTTTGTGTATTAGGGTTTTATAAAGTAAAACATTGGGTCCTACAGAATATGTACAATAGATCCATTTTTCTATTTGTAGTACCCTATCAAACTCTTACATTTATGCAACTTTATCTTAATATGCATGAAAGGCATTTTTGTCCTGAGAATAGTGTTCTCTGCAGAAACTACCCGTGTTAAAAAAGAAGACTGTCTTTTAAAGGCTACTGTGATGGGAAGTATCTTAGGCAGATGCAGCTTGGACGTGAGGTAAATCCAATGCTTTCCAGTATGTTGTGTTGAGCTTGCCTATTGACAATGTATGTACTCATGAAAATACATTAATTGTACTGTTTTGTATGAATTCTCAATAAATGTAAACTAATGGACAAAAATTTGTCTTTTGCATTATTTAATCTTTGAATGGATTTTTTTTAAAAAAAATATTTGTACATCCAAAAACCTATTAAAGGTGAGTGCTACGGCCTTGATAAAGAAGAAAACATTCAACTTTAGGAACAGAACATATTTATTATCCTTCCATTGAATACAGAATAAGTAATTTGGTTCAATTTTTTAAAAAAATCTCCTGCATAAAAATTTATTCTGACTTGCTCTGGCAACTAAAATACAAGCCCAAACCAACTGGAAGATTTGCAAATTTATGTGAAATTCCAGTGCATATTTTAATTATGTGATGGGATTTAGTTAACTGCTTTTCATTCCCCTCCCCCCCCAAAAAACTTATTCATCTGTTCCAGATTTATAACTGTATTAATAATATATGTTATTTAGTTTGGAAATAGTAGTGAGATGATTAAGTTCTATAAAAATGAGATGCAAATTGAAAAGCCACCCACTATTACGCTAACAAATTGAACATGATGCAGATTTGCCCAGCATCTTGTCTGGAATACTGAACTGAAATCTACCATCTAATACCATATAAAAAGCAAATGCTTGATTTTAAAGAACTTAATTTACAGCTGAATGCATAATTTAATAGTGTACATTTGGTTTCAGGCCATTAATAATCTTGATTTTATTTTGTTCATACAATTTAAAATAAAAACATTAAGCAAAGCGTAACTTAAAACACTATGTTACCTTTTAGCTAATAGTGTAATAAAGGACATCCTTTTTTGCCCCCAAAGTTGCCCTGATCAAAACATTTGTGTAGAATGAATTGCTCTTGGCTAAAAGATTAAAAATTACAAACTTGCCATGTTTTGGCATAAAATTAAAGTTGCAAACAATAGAATTGAGATTTTCTGGTCAATTATTCTTCCCATTTAGTGCATTCAAGAGTGCTTTGTTTGACCACATATTTTATGTTGGCATAATGAAAGATTCTAGAACCACATGGCAAACCGTTTCATGCAGTTTGATTTGCCTCATGGAACATCATCACATGGACCAGTACAGTAGCATAAATAAGCAGCCATCATTTATAGATTG